TAGGTAATGGTGGCATATTCTCGTGGTAGAGCCTATCTGTAGTCATGTAACTACAGCTCGACCATGGGCTGGCTCGTCCGGGGAAGTACCACCCTCTCACAGAAGATCTGCGTGAAGTAGTCTTTAATAGCTGCGTTTCGTCCGATGAGTGACAGAGCCGGTTGCCCTTTCCCTTTTCCTGACATTCCCTTATTCCGACGCTTCCCAATAGGGAATACCAAAAAAGCAAGGTTGGCAACACATCCACAACAGAATTGTGGAGGATGTCTATGGGCGACGGTAGCTACTACACACCAGGCCATCTGCTCGTTTAGCATAAAAAAAATTACAGCCCCACATATCACGTGTTTCATTTTGTTTCTGCTGGATAAAAATAATTTTTACTTCCTTAAACCGCTGTGCTATCTAGCAAATATCGACTAAATAAAGATAATACTGTTTATGCTAAAGTTATTTGGACTAATACTTATTTATAAAATGTCCTAAATATGTATAGTATATATAAAAAAACACACATGTATAAGTGAAAATATTAAAATTTTATTTCTTTATAAATAACAATAAACCGAACTATCATCACCGAGATACATATAAGGAAGCTTAAATACTTATTAAATAATTTAAATAAGTTGGGGAATTTCAGAAGTACACTGGTTAAACTGGTTAAAGTAAGTGAATTAAACACATTGAATTGTTTTGTCATTGTTATCCTGAATATAAAAATACTTCAAATGAAATTTCCCGAAATCTTAATATGGCATTAAGTAAATATATGTTATAAGATATGAAAAATGGTTTGTTATAAGATATGAAAAATGTATATAGAAAATTTAAAATTAAACAGTAATTACCTAATTAGAATGTAATATTCTGATTTAGCTGTGGATTTCTACTCTAAAGTAAATTACTGTCATTCAAATCATCGAATGAAATACAATTAAAATGTATTAAATTTTTACCATCTTCTGTACGATAGTCTTCTATCTCCGTGGATGTTTCAATAAAACGAGATTTATCTATTAACCATAGATAGCCAATACTATATATATATACAATAATATTTTTATTCATTATGTCTTTCATGTATAATAAATCAATAATATCGAATGAAAAGTTAAATAGCGAATAAATATGATTGAAAAGACCAATCAATATATAAATCTCAACTTCCTAGCTCACGTCATGTGTGAACGATACTGCTGGTCAAGTTCACGTTAAACGTGTTAAGAAAATAGATTGGGCTTACATGATTCTATAAAAATTGATTTTTCATAATTTTTTTTTTATATGAAGCTGGATTTTAGTAGTTTTATTTTTTGTAACTTGTGATTTATTAGCTGATAAGTGGTTGTTTTAAATAATTAATCTGATACAAGTGTTATGTTTAATTAAGTTAATATTTTTAGTTGTTTTAGGTCAGTTGGTTTTAACTATATTTTATGACTTGTTTAACATCTACCGCAATATGTCATCAGCGCGAATATCAAGAAAAGTAGTTATAGTTTTTTTGAGAGTTATATGTTTTTCATAATGTTCTTGATTATTATTTATAAAGACGAGATGCAGATACTGTAAAAATACGTATACCTTAAACGATAAGGCTAATAATTTAAAAATATCTGAATTAAAGAGGCATCCTATTTTTAAGAATGACACAGAAGGTACATTACTCGTTATTAAAGAAATTATGGTCTCACTATAAAAAAATATTTCAAAGTACTATTATTAGTATTTCTTTTGTATTATTCTTTTTTAGTATTAAATTGAATATTATTTTTAGTATTAAAATATTTTTTGATAACCGCATGTAAGCCCAGATCATTAAAGACTTTCTACATGTCGCCACTATTATTATGATATAGACACCTCTAAAACCGGTCATGAAACGGACATTTAGTGGAGCGGGAAGTTTTGTTCTGAGTACATTCTATATTAGTTTATTTAATTAAAAAAAGAAACGCTAAGAAATTAATATAATATTGTCAATAATAATAATATTTCTACTCAGGTTACATTTTCTAATAATATCTTATTCTGAAATTTCTTAATTCTTGTTTTCTATGTCATTAATTAAATTCTATTATAAAATTTAAAGTAAATTTTTGGTGACAAGAAATCAATAATATCCTTAAAATTCAGTAGACATTACCAAAAAAATGTATAGATTTTTTTAATACAACAAAAAAATCTTATATTTAGATCTGTGGGTACCAACGAACTCTGTTGCTAAAAGACATCGGTAAAGGTGGTTAATTGTGGTAACAGATAAGTTTTAGGAACAAATGTTTGAAGTAATATTCAGATAGTTAGACTTAAGCTTCTGGTTATAGTTAAAACCTTTAGGTGTTTATTATATGATTATATTTTATATAAAACGGTGATAAATATTCTCTGTCGCCCACAGACAGCTGCTGTGTAAATGGTATTGCAAATGCGTTGCCTGTTCTTTTTGTTCAGGAGTTATTTGTGCTACTTAAATAAAAACACGATTATATACTGTTTTTTTAAATCAATTGGAGCAGTGGTTTGTATTAAAATTTATTGATATTATTTTCTAAAATTGTTAATATTATAGAACGAAAATCAAAATGATTTAGATTACAATTTATATGTTAAATTATTGAATATCATTTGCCTTGCAATCAATACGAAAGTCAAGTATAAACACAAGAGAAGTAACCAAAGCTACCTACAAGCAAAAGGGGGTATTCCAAGATTTCATTAATTCTTTCCAATTGAACCTTTTTTGATATTTTTACTAATGTAAGGATAACATATGTAAAAATATCTAAATGTTTTTGAAGATTCTGCAAAATATATTTAAATCTTTATTTATCAAATTAAGTTTACCACTATATTTCAGAATCCTAGTTTATTGTAAATATGTGACATAAAGAAAAATACAAGTAAGTGTATATTAATTTATAAGAAAAACATATGTTAAAATTAATTTGAAATAATTTTTTAAACATTAAGCCTTTTAAATATACGACAATGTGTTATCTTTTCTCCTTTTATATTTACTCAAGTCAAAGAGAGCACATTTTTTAATTTAAACGCACTGAAATGATATAATAAAGTGAATAAAAAACGGTCGAAAAGTGTCATTGGTCTGGAATAAGAATATGTATCGTATATTATTATTATTTATCTTGGATAAGGAGTTGGTCTGTTTTTCAATTAGCGTCTGTGTTATTATTGTTTAATAAAAATAATAGTTTGCAAGAAAAATTTATACTATGTTTTAGCAAATACATACCAATTGATAAAAATAGTGATCTAAGTACTCATACGTAGTGTATGAAAAAATAGGATTAGTACAGTTCATTAGATCTACAATGTTTCTAAGAAAAGTTGTCATACCCAGTAGAGACTTTTATCCTCAATATTATATTGCCCGGAAAACCAATATAAAACCTCAGAGAGTAAAGTTCAATGAACGTCCCAATTGCTTATGTTTTACTAAAGATGCTTCGAATATTTTGTGAGAAAATATATTTATTTTCTTAGGACTTATATACATTTGTTACAAGACTTTTCATTTTAAGTGATTTGTAAACAAAATTGAGAGTATATGAAATTCAAACATTTTAACAAACAAAAACATAGAAACTCAATAAAATCATCAGAAACATATTTATTTATGATAAAATAAATATATAAAACTAGACATAGTTAAAAATAAAAAAATATTATTATAACCACAATAAAATACATATATTTTGCACTTGTCTCACTTGACAACAAAACGTGAATTATAAATTAAGTGAATGTGACCGCTATTACAATATTAATATTGTAAACTAGATTAAATCAAGTAATCAGTTGTTGTAATCAAAGTTGTATTAGTATATAGAGAAACTAATTAAAAAATGTAAAACTTACTTTTCCTATAATATATATAATATTGTAATATATAACACAAATAACAAAATCCATCGTAAATAAAATAAGGTTTAAATCAATCTGTCCCTATAATTATACGTGCAAATATACGTCTAAAACACATCTGTAATTTCTTGCTTGCAGCTGAAAAAATATTTTTTTTTTCCCTAACCTAAATACCAGAAATAAAACTGATGGCCCATAAAAAAGAAATTATGAACTAAGGCTTCCGATGTTTTCCAATTTCGTAGAAGATTCGTTTCTAAAACCACAAATATTCCCTTCCGCGAACATTGACCTCTCGTTTCGATATTTGTCCTGATTAATATGATGATCAACTTATTCAGAATAACGTATTTTTACTTCGAAATATTGAAAGTTTTTCAAAGAGTACCTACCTATGTATATATGCTGTTTTTTGATCTAGAGTATATTTTACAAATAAGTTACTTCAATTACTGTTCACTGTTTTATAAAATGCAATAAAGTGAATCTCTTTCTTAAATATCACTAACACTTGATAAGTACATATTTGTCAAACATTTGAAATTTCAATCAAATTTGAGGTTTTTGATAGTCAAGATCATTGTTCAAGTTTGTGATTTTCATGTATACTACGTTGTTTGGTGTTTCATTACTTATAATTTAAAAATATATCGATTACTTATAGATTTCAACATAATTCTATTATTTTTGTTATATTTCATTATTTGTCCTTTTAAGTATATATCAGGAAATGTTAGTACAGATATAATAATATTTTTATGTTTCTATGTATGGTATGTCACTATTGGCTTTTAATTAAATTCTTAATATCTGTTTATATTGATAAAATGAATGTTTCCTTATCACTATCCAAGGCAATTTAGAATAATTGTTTTAAGTCTTAACTACAGCTATTTTATAAGGTTCAAATTATTAGTTATCATTGTCAACTTAAGTTCGCAGGCCGAACTTGCGCCGTTTTCTTGCCGAGAAGTTAATGAGACAACGCCTTCGTTCCTTAGTATTAAACGTCACAAAGGTATTTGGTATTGCCATTTGTGGTATAAAAGGTGATAAGTTTAGACAAAATTTAACAGTTGCTTACTGAACAGTTATCAACATAGACCAAAATGTACAAACTGGTGGTGTTGTTTGGCCTGATCGCTTTATCGGCTGGAAGTGGTATTGCTCCTCTTTGGGGATCTCACCTTGCTGCTCCTTTGGCAGCACCCTGGGCTGCGGCAGGCCACGTAGCTGTCGCTGCTGGTCCTGTAGGAGCTTACAATTACCGTGGTCCACTTTCTCTCGGACATGGCCAACCGGCCAGCATTTTGGCTGCTGATGGAAGGCCCCTAGATACTCTTAGTGTAAATGTCGATAAAGCTGTACATTACACCGCTAAAGCTCTTGAAGGTGGACATTGGTTGGGCAAAAGGTCAATCGTCGCTCCTTTGGCTGCTGCTCCCTTAGCTTGGTCCCATGCGGCAGTCGCTGCGCCTGTGATTGCACCTGCACATGTCGGTATTGCTCCAGTGGCTCGTATTGCACCCTGGGGTTTGGGCCATGGTCTTGGACATGGTCATCTAGTGGGTAAGAGGTCGGTCATCGCTCCGTGGGCTGCTGCTCCTCTTGGATGGTCACATGGTATTGCTGCAGCACCCTTACTTGCACCCGCACATGTTGGTATTGCTGCTGCTCCTATTGCACCTTTGGGCCACGCTCGTCTCGGACACTGGTAATCGACGGACTATATGGATTTATTCTTAAAGATTTAAAATGCAATGAAATAAAACAAGTTACCAACATCTATTCTTTTATTTATTATTCACAATACTTTTTAATCTTACATATTATAATACTGAAACGTAATAGCTATTGTAATACGTATGAAGGAAATTTTTCTACTCACGTTATCTGGGAATTGACATAATATTATGTTATTTTATAAATTGTACGACTTTTATATTTGTCAAATTGTATGTGAATATTTTTATTGCTAATATAATCGCATTAGCTCAGTTATAAAATATAATACCAGTTAGGAATACGGGTATAAGCCATTTTGATAAATTATCATTAGTATTTTATGCGAAACTTGATGTTCCAACCATACAATTACTTTGCAGTTTTATTTTTAGAGTAAGGTGAACGATTTTACTTTTTCATTTATTTCGTTTCTTTGGCGTTTTTGCTATTGAAAAGAACGATAATTTATACTTTTTTTATATTTCCAAATAATATGTACCTAAGGTCCAATCTTCTTTAACGATTTAACTTCTTCACATTGGTTCCTCAACCTCTATTTAGGAATATATATATATTTTTATTTTATTGAACACTTCTGATATAGATTTATATATATTATGCAGAAGATGGCATGGTATAAGAGCCATTAAACTGTACTTAGTCATTTTATGCTTAATAAAATTTATAAAAATAATTCTTTTGATCGGTAAGTAGAGTTTGATCATTATTTCGAAGGTTTTGTCCCAACTACACTAGTACATTTGCACTGTTGCTCTGGTGCAATCAATTGAATTTTTTGAAAATAGCGGCTGCACTTCACGATTACATTGACCCTTGGTCATTGGTCCGTTCTAGTTCTGGATTAAGTTTTTTACTGAATTGAATTAAAAAAATTCTATTTGTCACAATTTATTTTTATTTAAATATTTTTTTCTTCTTAAGCTTTCTACCGATATGTTGACTCATGACGTTATATGTAATAATAATTAAGCGTAGATACTTGAAATTTGGCAGGAATATTTCTTGCGCTAAGTAGAGATCAGCTAAGAACGGATTTTACGAAAATTCACACACAATGGGTGTTGCAGGGCAGTAAACAAAAAAAATATAGGAATTTATAAAATGTAGAATCTTCTATAAGCGACGTAGATATTATTTATGAGTGAATTTTATAATAACTCAATAATAATAATAATTGCGGGGATCGTTGTTAACAATCGTATTTTTAATTTTCAATTATAGTCCCTACAGAGTCCAAATTTTGTATCAAAAATGATGGAAAAGTAATTATTGAAAGCATATTACTATATCCCACCAAAAAGGAGGTTGGGGGGTGTTGTTGCAAACGAAAATTTCAGTATTTTATGTCAGGCAAAGCGGGTTGGTAACGTCCAGTGTAAAATATACTTATGAGAAATAATTGATATATCCTACAGCAGAAATAAAATAAACATACATACATATATTATTAAATGACTGAAATTTTAAGGTGGTAGAGCCTAGCTGTGGTTAAGTTACTACAGCTCGAACATGGGCTGGGTCGACCGGGGAAGTACCACCCTCTCACAGAAGATCGGCGTGAAGTAGTCAGTAATGACTGCGTTTCGTCCCTTTTCCCAACCTTTCCTTGTATTTCCTTATTCCCACCCTTCCCTATACCTAAAAAGAAAAGGTTGGCAACGCATCCGCAACATATTTGTTGCGGATGTCCATGGACGACGGTAACCACCTTCCATCAAGTGGGCCGTCTGTTCGTTTGTCACCTATAACATAAAAAAAAAAACCGATAGATTTTTTTTATATACTTTATTTTTGCTATATAAACTAAACTAAAACTACATTAAGTCTCAATCCGAACCTGTTCATTTTATAATACATATTACTATGTCGGTTTGAGACTTTAATAAATGTAATTTATTGAAACCTTTTGTAAAAGAGTTTCGCAATCGTGAAAAGTTTTTTTATTAAATCGTACATAGTACTTTCGAAGTAGTAGTTTAATTATTTTTATATGTAAATTGAAAACATTAGTAATAAAATCTTTACACAAGTTGTATCTAATTAAGGTCACCGTGTTATTTTTTTTTATTAAAATATATGACATATCTTTCCCTAATAAATACTTATAAAACATAGTCTACATTGAGTTTGTTTTTTCTTTAATAGTAGCCGTTACTCATTGCTTAATTTAATAAAACTCGATTTCTGGGTAAATATTTTGAGAACAAAATGTTACCCCCATGTTGTCATATAAATTATTTCATCCATAGACAGTTTTAATAAAAACCATCAAACCATTATAGAGGATACACCAACAATCAGAAAGATGGACGGAAATATTTTAAAAATATTTTCATCGTCTCAGAAATACATAAGCAAGGTTTTAGCAAAACGTAATTACTTCTGTAATTGTAAAGATCACATTTATTTATTAATCAAAGAATCATCTTCAGATCAAAATAAGACCTTATATAATATATAAAATTGGCAAAGTTTGATAATGTCCCAGATCAAGACAAAATTTCTATAATGTTATAAAGTTTCAAAGGAAGTTTAATAATCAAGAATTACTACAGGAGTGAGTAAAGCTGTGGTATCCCTACTTAACGTTTCCATAGCAACACTACATACGTAGCTTTAACAGTTTTTCATATGTATATCTTGTCACATTGTAGTATTAATGTAAGGTATTGAAAAACGGGAGACGCTTAGTATGTAGTGTGACGATACAAATTTGTGCTAAGCACATGTGCTTAGTTTTTTATAAAGCAGGCAGCAATGAGAAATGACGAAGTTAGTTTGTCGAAACAGCAATTTACAAAAACTTACTTTATTAAGTTTCTTTATTCCGGGGTTTAAAATTAATATATTTAATTTATATAACTCAACTTGTAATACTTAAGTTATAACATTCTAAACGTTATTATTTCAGTTATGTAGATCACAGTTAACTGGCACAGAAATAACCATGACATTGTTAAGAAGTGACAAGTGCCTCTGTAAAATTATTACCTAGTTGATTACAACTAATTATAATATAACCTACACAGTATGTTTTCTACGCAACTTTTAATGAAATATAATATTAATGCAAAGTTTTCACTAAAAAATCTATGTGTGCGTATATTACAGGAATGCGTGTGTGTAAAAGTCATTTTGCTTCTAGAATAGATAAGTAGTATTAAAAATTTATCAAACAGAATCATTTGATAATTAATTACTATCAACTTGTTGTAAATTTCCTTACCAGTATGCGAAACCTATTTCACATATGTAATACTATTGTCCAGTTTTTTAAAAACTTCGTTGTTCATTGAGAAAATCCTATTTATTATTTCTTAATTTATCCTTTATTTAACCAATGATTATTTAAACCATCATTAGTCTTGTATTATTGTAATCAAATCTATTAATTTTTTTTATTCATTTTACTTATCTCAAACGCAAAAACGTATTGGTAAAAGAATGGGGTGTCTGAGAATATATTGGATTGTGTATTTAAATATCTAGCTTAAAAGTTATTTTCTCATTTTAAATGTTAAATAGAAATATTGAATTTTGTAAGCAAATGTACATAATACAATTTTGATGTTGACTTGAACGTAATTTCTATCCGAATATAAAACTTTTAAAAGTGTTTATGTATATTTATTATAATTACTCCCTGACAATATTATTTTATTATTATTATTTTAAAGTGAATGGACCTTTATCGTACAGTTCAAGGCAAGCTTGGATGCATAAAAGTATAATTGTTAGTAATCCTAACACAGAAATTCTAATAACTTAACACTTAAGGTTTAAATTTCAATGGAATTTATTTTGTCAACAGTAGTTTGTGCCGGCTGGTAACCCTTGTATTTGTTTCTTTTCCGAGTATGATGCCTAACCAACGCCTTATTGCATAGTAGTTTTGACGTCACAAAGGTTTCTGGAATAACTGCTACAAATTATACAAGTATATAAGATCAAGTTGAGATGGAATAATCATCAGTTTCTCTACGACTAGTGATAAACACAGACCACAATGTACAAGCTGGTGGTGTTGTCTGCCTTGATCGCCTTATCGGCTGGAAGCCCCATCGCTCCTCTATGGGGAGCTCCTTGGGGTGCCGTAATTGCTCCTGCACCACTCGCAGCTGCACCTGTGGCTATTGCTGCAGGAATCGGAGCACCAAACTATAGAGGACCACTATCTCTTGCACCCGGACAACCTGCTAGCATCTTGGCCGCTGACGGAAGACCACTGGATACCTTGGATGTTAATGTGGACAAGGCTGTGCACTACACCGCCAAGGCACTTAATGGACTCAATGGTCACCTATTAAAGAAGAGGTCAATCGTCGCTGCTCCATTAGTGGCAGCTCCCGTGGCCGTGTCTAGCGTTGCAAGCCTTCGCATACCGGCTGCTGGTATTATTGCCCCCGCACCGATCGCTGTAGCCGCAGCAGCCCCTTGGGGATGGCGTCACTGGTGAAATCATTAAAAAATATATTCTCACATTTAATTATGATTGGAAAATAAAAAAGAGAGTTACCCTATTTTCTTGTTTTTAATTTGATATGAAATATTTAAAACCTGTTACATCTACATATGTAGTTATAACGATAACGATAACGATATGTTATGAGTATTTATTTAACTTGCAATGTATGCGTAACAACCGTGAAGATCTCAAAGCTTTACTTGACTTTAAAAAAAGCTTTCACAGGGTTAAGTATGATTTATCATTAAATCTAATTAGCATTCTAACTATAACATATTCCTTGGTCTGATTGATTAAATTTCTGACTTTATGAGGGTCTGTAAAATACAAGTAGTTATTCAAGCTGGTCGTCTGAGCCAATAGCTATCAACGCCTTGGTTTGTCCTCTTCACAACTGTATTTTTACTGCACATTAACAATCTGCAATACTGGGTATTTTACTAAGATATTATTATCATTCAGTGGTAACAATACAGCCGTTGAACTTGTTGGAATCGATTATCGTGGGAATGAAAGGCCGTGGTAGAGGGTGCTTCTTCAGCACTTTAGGTCGTCACTGAATTGGCTGGTGCCAATATTGTGAAATTTAATGCAACAAAAAGTCAAGCGTGTCACTTCAGCGTCAAAAGAAGTGCCGTAACCTTAGATCTAACTTTTTAGAATTTATCTTTGGAAAACTCCGACCCTTTCCAGTTATTGTGACTTGAGGTAACAATGAACCTCAATGGTGGTTGGTTCATTGAGTTCAAAGCTAAGGCATCTGTAAGGAAACTCAGTGTCATTGCTAAAAAGCGGCAAAACAGGTCCGATCGTGTGTGAAATACTGCGGCCACATCTGGGCAGGCGCGTTCAAATATCATCTCAGTGCTTTGGACTCTTTTGACAGACGTGCATATTGGCTTATTGATGACCACATAATATGGGTATCAAATGAAAGAGCTTATTATTATTAAAATAATCTACAGTTAAAAACTTTTTTTAAAGGTTTTATTTTAAGGTGTTTAGTATTAATTTAAACAACATCTGTTTTGAACCTCGTCTCTATCTTTCTCTCTCATATTAAATATTAAAATAGTACATAATATGTATTTGAACTTTGCTATATTCCAAAAAATATATGTTATATTTGATAAAGTATGAAATTAATTAATTTAGTTCATTAGTAAAAATATCCTAAACGATATATTAATTAATTATAAATAAACAGTCAGAATGAATTTAAATTGGTTGAGAAAACATTTTAAATATGACCGAATTTGAAATTCACATCATTATAGCCATTTATTAATTTTGGTATTTATAAGGAAGTAAATTCGACTATGTTGAAGAGTTCATTTTGTAAACCGAGAATATATTATAAAGGCCGTATTTATTCTTTAAATTTTTTAAGGATCTTAATGTAAACAATGTATTTAATACGTTCATATTTTAATCAAATAGTTTTAAAGTCAGAAATTTCGTGGTAACAAAAGTGATAAATAAAAAAAACTATTTCTTGACTCTACATATTTTTTAAGATAATTTAATAATATGGCTAATAGTATGAACCAGTCAAAAATATTTTAGTCGCAACTTTTTCATTTTTGTGACATTATATCTTGAACTTTTTATTTTAATCTGTGAACTCAATATTAAAAAGGATATTTTTACATTTAAATTACAAATTTAGTTCAGATTTTTTTTTTAATGTCAGATCTTTAAGAGTGCTTAAATGGTATTTTGAGTTCGATCTTGTTGACATTTAGGATTAATAGATTTACAAAATTATAAGGATCTAATTTTTGAAATTACTTAAAATTTGTGATTTTTCACCAGAAATGCTTTTTGAAATACATATTAAGTCATCCTTTATACTTATTAACATAAATTTTTTAGAGAAATATAAAAATAGGTAGAAGTTGTCGTAGGATGAATAAATAAAAGAATGCTGTAGATTTTTCACTATTTACACTATGTATTTTCAGAAATTAGTTGGGACGATACTAAGTTTTACAGAATATGGGTGTAGGGTGCAGCGACGTATGAGATTGGGTTAATATGGGAAGCGATGATGGGGGTTTGATAATTGTAGTGGGAAGCGATCAGTGGCGTCCGGGCAACGGCGACGGTGCTTACGGGAGCGACAGCGACTACAGACCGCTTCTTCAGAAGATGGACTCCACTGTCCAGGGCCTTGGCGGTGAGGTGAGCTGACCGGTCCAGGTTTACATCCAAAGTGTCAAGGGGACGACCGTCAGAACCGAGGATGTTGGCGGGCTGTCCGGGAGCAAGGGAGAGTGGACCACGGTAGTTGTATGGTTGCCACAGGGGTGCAGAGTAAGCATAGGGAGCAATAATGGGAGCAGCGTACGGAGCTATCAATGACCGTTTCTTAAGTACACGAAGTCCACCGAAATACTTGGAGTTATAGTGAGCGGCGCGGTCCAAGTTTACATCCAAAGTGTCCAAAGGCCGTCCGTCGGCACCGAGAATGTTAGCGGGTTGACCTGGAGCAAGGGAGAGGGGTCCACGGTAGTTGCTGGGCTGAATGTAAGTCGCAGCGTAAGCTATCGGAGCTACGTATCCAGCAAGGAGACTGGAGGCCGACGCCGCGGCCAGGACGCAAGACAACACCACCAGCTTCCTCATTTTGAGAGTGGTCTGTGTTGCTTTCTTTAGTCAGAAACACTGATGCTTTGACGTACCACTCACTTGCCTTTATATACATAAGTGAGAAATGTTATTTTGGAGGGCGCTCTAGAACACGTAGTGGCCATGAGAGTGAACAACTTTTCTCGTTAAATAACAAGTTCATCTTAAAGGGCAAATTGTGTTTTTAAGTTTTAATTTGTTTACATTTCTCCAAATGAAAAATAAGTCATGTATAAATATGCAATGATGCTTTGACTATTATGAGAAGATACATTGCATGAAAAGCTTACAACATTTTGTTACACTCATCTTAACGTAATGACTTATGTACTTATGTTGTAGATAGGTAGAGATATGCATTATAGATAAAAAATGTTAAAATTGTTAATCACATTTATCATTAGATATAATTTATAAAGTTCAAACTGCGAATTTATAAGTTTAATTATTTGATTCTCAAGCCGTTTTTAAAGACTAGAAGAGTAGAATTTTTGGAAACCTTACACCAAAATCAACTACAACCTGTACATTATTTATCTGTTTGGTCAAATTCAGTCTTTGGTTATATTTCTTTAGTAAAATTTATGCAGGTAGGCCTCTTGTTCGTCTATTACTAATTTAAAACCAAAAACTGCGTCAATGAATTATAAAAATAAATATATTTTTGTTTTTATAGCGCATATTACTGTAACATAGATATTTTTAAGAATATTCCATACTTTAAATGAATCTGAAAGAATATTGTTAAGAAATGCCATAAAAGATATTTTAGGTAATAATTCACACTTTTAGTGAACGTTTAAAATTATGAGTATATAAGTGTTATAGTAACTTGATAAAAAATAACCTAGTAAGATAAATAAACAAAGAAATAAAGAGATTCAGATCGCAATTATTACGTGAGGCTGCGTGATGTTATGTGTTTAGGAGCGAAACCTTATAATATGCTTGATTACGAAACAACATGCTTTTTTTTAAATATTCTTCATATTATATTCTATTTATACTCTGACAGGGATTAATATTGTACATGAAGGTATCGAAAATTCTTGTTAATTTTTTTCCTGTGGAATGGAAACTTATGTTATATTAAACGGTTTTATTTAGCTCACCCCGTTTGTTTTATTATTTTTTTTTATCATAGAAAAAGGAAGAGTAATAAAATACAGTTACATAACTTATAAGAAGATTTTATTTGATGATATTAGTTTGAAGTTCATATTTCATTTTCTCATATGTAAAATAATAATTTGTCAACTTTTTAAGACTTTTTTCGAATCTATATCTGAATATTGTAAAAAATTAACTGATCAGTGTCTAGACATGAAAAGGGTGTCAGTAACACTGCTGTAGAACTCCCAATAACCAATCAGATCTCATAACTTCACAAATTAATGTTAGAGTTTTAATATATTTTTAATTTGTTTTCACTAATATTAGCAGCGGTTTTTCTTAAAACCTCATAATCGTTAGCAGTTTAAAGAACCACAAGCTGAAATATTCCATATTCAGAGTAAAACATCTGAGACGAAGTCAAATCATCTCAGCATTCCATGGATTCATCGTGCAGGTTCCCGATCCATCGCATTGCAGGGAGAGAAGCTTTTAAAGTTCTTGCAACCCAGGTGTAGGTTTAACAGACTATCTAACACTCGCTAAACGCTCACCCCACCGTCCAAGCATTCCATTACCATTTAATTTATAATCTTATTTCTACTTTATATATTTTGCACTTGTTAGGATAGGTATATGTTCTATAATTATACAATGTTTATTAAATATACTAATTGTAACAAAATATATATTGAAAATATAAATCTTATATATATTGAAAACATAACTCTTAAATAATAGAAGATATTTTAGTAAATAATATTTAGAAAGCGGGTTTCAATTTAACAGTATATTAAACACATATTTGACATGTTACCGCTTTTGTACCTAAGTCTTATTCTTACTTTTTAATAATAATTCCTTAATTATAAATCAAATAATATTCTAAATACAATAAAATATATATTTTAAAGTTTTAACAGTTTTTAAACAAAGCTGACTCCAATATAATTATATAATAATAGTATATTAGACATTCGTTTGACATATTATTGACGACACAACACTTAAGTCAAATCTTAACTATTCGATCATTTAAACTGTAAATGACAAGATATATATTTAAATACAAATAGTATATTTAATAAACGTTGTATAATTATAGAACATATATCCTAACATACTCATTATATTTTAATATATTATTTTTGCTTTTTTCCATCCTGATTTATTATTCATGACATTTTTTCATGAAACTGTGATATATATTATGAAACTGTATGTGATATATATGAAACTGTGATATACATTTTTTCATGAAACTGTGATATATATTATTGTCTGAAAGTAAAGTTTATATTTATTCTCATTTTATACGACTATCTCGTCACTTCTTCCTTCAATAAATAGCAGGTAAATGAAAACTATAACATTTATTATAAAAATTGTTTATTTATATTTACAGGAAGTGGGCGTAGTGTGCGGCGTATGTGATCGGGCTAAGAGGGGCAGCAGCAATGGGAGCAGCAATGGGAGCAGCATAACTGTAGTGGGAAGCGATCAGCGGCGTCCGGGCGACGGCGATGGTGCTTACGGGAGCGACAGCGACTACAGACCGCTTCTTCAGAAGATGAACTCCACTGTCCAGGGCCTTGGCGGTGAGATGAGCTGACCGGTCTAGGTTTACATCCAAAGTGTCAAGGGGACGACCGTCAGAACCGAGGATGCTGGCGGGCTGTCCGGGAGCAAGGGAGAGTGGACCACGGTAGTTGTATGGTTGCCAAAGGGGTGCAGAGTAAGCATAGGGAGCAATAATAGGAGCAGCGTATGGAGCGATCAATGACCGTTTCTTAAGAACATGAAGTCCACCGAAATACTTGGAGTTGTAGTGAGCGGCGCGGTCCAAGTTCACATCCAAAGTGTCCAAAGGCCGTCCATCGGCACCGAGAATGTTAGCGGGTTGACCTGGAGCAAGGGAGAGGGGTCCACGGTAGTTGCTGGGCTGAATGTAAGTCGCAGCGTAAGCTATCGGAGCTACGTATCCAGCAAGGAGACTGGAGGCCGACGCCGCGGCCAGGACGCAAGACAACACCACCAGCTTCATCATTTTGAGAGTGGTCTGTGTTGCTTTCTTTAGTCAGAAACACTGATGCTTTGACGTACCATTCACTGGTCTTATATACATAATGAGAAATATCATATTGGAGGGCGTCTCCGGAACGAGTATATGTAATATGACCATGAGATAGTGAACAACATTTCTTTAACACAAAACAAGTATAAGAAACTTTTTTTCTTAAGATTAAATAATAATTTTATAGTTTACATGAAAATTCCTAGATTTTTTCCACTTTTATTATGAATATTTACTACTGGTTAAGAAAATATTTTTTCGTTTCTTTGAATTTAGTTTAAAAATGTAAAATGCTGAAAAACTTCTAGGTTATTTTCTTAAACGACATAAAATATAAAAGACTATGAGAAAAAAAATTGTTTAAGGTTTTCATTAAAACAAAATCCTACCCTATCCTGATTCATTATTCCCCGAAATATATATTTGCCTTTACAGTTGGTATTACAAAATAATAGAAGGAAACCCTGTACTCCTGCAAACATAAAAAAATATTTTTGTTATATCCGAAACAATTTTTAAAGTATGCATTTAACTCGACTATATGAAATATAGTCAGGAGTCCTGACAAATTTGTGTGTAGTTTTTTATACATTAATAAATGTCATATAAATTTATCTGATCCTACAAATTTCCTACACCTATTAACCTTTTCATACATGAAGTAAAGTAGCATTCACTTTTATTGAACATAACTACTGATTATTGAACGATTTGTAAATTATACTACATACATACATATATAGAAATACTACCCTTTCAAGTTATTTTATGTGGATTACATGTACATTTTAAATAGTAGCATTGCTACAGTTCTCATTTTAACATTATTATGTTATACTCGTAAATTTAAATCAACGATTTTCAAAGTTAAACAGTATTTGGGATTTATTAGTTCCAACTCTTTAAATTAAAACGTTTTAAAGTTACTGTAAATTTTTATTAAACTTTCAGTCACATTTTTTTAAATCAACAAATAAAATAAAAAATTATTTAATCGACTATTATGTCTGATAATTTTTGTTTACATAATATCTTGAGGACAATAAATATATTATAAATATTTGCAAGTATTTTTTTATTTACACTTGATAAATTATAATTTATACATAGGATTTTCTAAAATATTTTTTTTTATTAACATACCTATACCGATAAATTTTTATAATTTGAAATTATAAATGTTATTTAATAATACTAACCAAATATTGGAGTTCTAGTGCAGTTGTAAATAAGAAAATTATTACATGATAAGGTCTCATTGATACTTGTACTATATATCATATAAATTGCCTAATTGAGCGAATCCATTAAGGGCAAGACAGCTTCTTTGGTAACACGACTAGAATGCGATTATGCAGGAAGTCATAGGTTGCAGTCCTGGTATTGTCGGTCAGTTCTTTTTATATTATGTTTAAAACATTTAAACCAACTATATAGATCAACATTTCTTTACACACAGTTTCACATAAAAATGTGAAATATAAATGTTTCAAATTTGGTTAGGTAATGAGAGGAGCTTGGACGGTGGAAGTGAGTGTTTAACGCGCGTTAGATAGGGGCCCCTCAAACCTACACCTGGGTCGCAAGTCCCAGGCACTGTTGAAGCTCTTCTCCCTGCAACGCGATGGATCCGGTAAACTCACGTTGAATCCATGAGAGGTTTCGTCTCTGTCTTTTTAAAGTTTCTAATGGACTGTTAGATGCATCGAGCGTTCTACCACTCACTTATATCTATTTAAGATTTAGTTTTACAAAATATGTTTGTTAAATTTAAACGGGGCATTTACAAACTAACCTTCATAAATATAATTGTCTTTCGACAAGACATTAATATTAATTAAATATTAATTATTTTTCTAAAGATCTGTCAAGTGGCTGATGGACTGTTAATCTATTATATTATCAAAACACAAATATCAACTAACTTTTTAATTTTTTGTAGCCATAATTGTTAAAATACTTAGATGAAATAAAACCCTTTTTTAATGACCTCCGTATATTTAATCAAACATCAACCGACAAAACTACGATACGACTATTCACACACAGATTAAAAATTAATTGCGCGTTAAAATAGATTATAACATTTACTCATGTATATTCAACAATAGTAACGCCATATCCGACATTACAAATTAGGTATTCTTTTGTTTACATATAACTAAAAGATAATGAATATCAGTTAATTCACAACACGATTAAAATAGGTCATACCTAGTGAACTGTAAAAAAAGCTTTTTGTGTGCCAAATCTATGCAATCAACGATAAATAAAATTTAGTCACATTAGATAACACGTGACATATCGAGAGAGAGATATATGTACATATATGTATAATAATATCATGAGATAAAGTGGTGCATCGCAGCAAATACGTCGTGTTAAACGTGATTACTCCAATTTAGTCATTTTATATGAAGAACGAATTATTTGGTTGTCGGTCGTTTAATTTACAAATAAAACTGCATTTATAAAATATATTGTTTTAAAGTCGGTTAAAAAGAGGTTTTCTTTTAAGATACGCCGTGATTATTAAGACCAATATAACGGACTAGTTCAAATTCCCGTAAAGTATATAACGATAAAAGTTTAAACGAATTCAATAACTCTGAAAAGAATATAGATATTTTTTAACCAGTTTTGTCTGTTAGTCAATATAACATGAATATTTGAAATTTGGATATTATAATATTTTTAAGTAAATCGAACATTAATCTATAATTCCCCTTTTCAAGCAGGGAGCTTGAATAAATTATGAAGCGAAATAAGGTAAAAAATATATGTTTAGTCAATATCTACATTTATTTACAGATATTCGTTAGAGCAGTGGAAAAATTTACAGGACGTGGGCGTAGTGTGCGGCGTATGTGATCGGGCTAAGAGGGGCAGCAGCAATGGGAGCAGCAATGGGAGCAGCATAACTGTAGTGGGAAGCGATCAGCGGCGTCCGGGCGACGGCGATGGTGCTTACGGGAGCGACAGCGACTACAGACCGCTTCTTCAGAAGATGAACTCCACTGTCCAGGGCCTTGGCGGTGAGATGAGCTGACCGGTCTAGGTTTACATCCAAAGTGTCAAGGGGACGACCGTCAGAACCGAGGATGCTGGCGGGCTGTCCGGGAGCAAGGGAGAGTGGACCACGGTAGTTGTATGGTTGCCAAAGGGGTGCAGAGTAAGCATAAGGAGCAATAATGGGAGCAGCGTATGGAGCGATCAATGACCGTTTCTTAAGAACATGAAGTCCACCGAAATACTTGGAGTTGTAGTGAGCGGCGCGGTCCAAGTTTACATCCAAAGTGTCCAAAGGCCGTCCATCGGCACCGAGAATGTTAGCGGGTTGACCTGGAGCAAGGGAGAGGGGTCCACGGTAGTTGCTGGGCTGAATGTAAGTCGCAGCGTAAGCTATCGGAGCTACGTATCCAGCAAGGAGACTGGAGGCCGACGCCGCGGCCAGGACGCAAGACAACACCACCAGCTTCATCATTTTGAGAGTGGTCTGTGTTGCTTTCTTTCGTCAGAAACACTGATGCAAATATGAAGTTACAATCCTCTTTTATACTTGCCAATCATTTGATCAACTTATCAGCTGGCACTGGTCAATTCCGTTGACCATGAAAGGACGAGTTTACCGAGCAATGAAAGCTGGTTTATCAGGAGATATTTTTTCTGCATATTTATTGTTCTAGACCGTCCTGATTTAACTTTATAAATACCATGTGTCATTCACAGTAATTACATGTAAAGTTGCATGCCCGGCTTTCTGACATATCTGGAGTTTATTTAATGAAATACCAAACTTTTATGGTCTGTCATTATTCTGTGTTACTAGTACCGTGTTACCTATATTACTTTAACAGTTTTATGTGTATTAATTTTTTTTTTATGTACCTATGCTTATATTTTTATTTATTTTAATGTTTATTGCGACGGCTCTTAGATAAAAAGCTGTGTTTAGCCTTTTATATTATTTTCTGTACCAAAGTTAGCATTATACCTACTGGATAAATCTCAAAATATTTTATATTTAAATACTTATAATTGTGTAGCAAATATTTGTTTTTTAGCCTTTTTTTTTAGCATTGCGGTATTTGTTGTGCATTTCATGGGTTATATTTTATCATAACATGTTAATAAACAATGATTTCACATTGATTTAGTAGGAGTATTATATTAGATAATATATAAGAAAATTTCAAAATTATTAATATAATCTTTATATATAAAAGAAAGTTGTGTTAGTTACACTATTTACAACTCAAGAATGGCTATAGGAATATGGTTGAAAATTGGCGGAGAGACAGCTAAGTGCCCCGAGAAGCACATAGGATATTTAATTTTGTTCGATTGAAAAAAAAACTTAACAAACTCCAATATCTGGTTATTTAGGGCCTCTAGGGTGGAATAAAGTTCGCCTGGACGTCTAAACATATATTACTAATTCCAAAATTAACGCGGACGATATCACTGTCAAAAACTAGTACTTATATAAACTTTATTTTATTTGAAATATTTTCATCGCACTCAATGTGAAATGAATCACTATAAAATGCTTTTCCTCTTAAGACCAGAGAATCACTATTGTTGGGTATTTTTCCGTCTTAAAAGTTTTCTCTTAATGAGGCGATAAAATAAAATTTATGTTATTTTATATATCAATTATTACTGTTACCATTTCTGTTGCGTCAATATGGCGTTATGTTAAGAATACCTCTTTGTAAATGTAATATCTCATTGTCTGCTTACAAGGGATCAGCTCTAATTTTAAGGCCGCCTTTGTACCAACTGTATTTTTTTTTCTTGTCTTATTTGTTAAATACGAAACTTATTTAGGCTATTTTAACTTATATTAAACCTTTTAAAAAGTCAATCACCATGAGAGCTATTAAGATGAGAGAATAAAATTAAAAAGTTTTTTATAATGAGTCCTTGAAATGTAATAAAGTACAAAATACTCAATCATTTTTTTGCTACGATTAATAAAAGATTGGAAACCAAATAAAAGTGACTGTTTCAATTCAATTTTCATTTTTTTTTCTAACTACTAAATTCAGTTCAACTAGTCCGTACATAAAAATACGAGTACATATAGTCGTTTCGTCTTAGATAAATTCTAAAGTAATGTTAAAACATCCTAATAAAGACTAAATAATTTTTAGTTATTAGGGTTATAAGAATTCTTTTTAAAGATATTATAGATTTGTAATGCAATTAATTTTCCTATTATTAATTGATATAAAACCAAAATGCTTTAAGTTGAACGTTTACTTTGAAAACCTTAGGTGTCATTAAATAGTTTCAATTTTGTAAACGAACGAAGTCACGGTTCATAGCTAGTAATTAAATTAAAAACTATGAAACATTCCACTCTCTAGCATAAAGGTATTAACTATACTACTTGTTGCGGAACAGTTCAATTTAAATATATAAATTATTCAAAGACGTACGTACTAAGGTAGTATGTGTCATTTGTTGAAACAGTAATCTTAGTAGGAGTTTGTAACGTGATTAAATACTGACAGTAACATAGTTTTTCAATTCTAAATCGATTGCGTTGTACAATTTTTTATCCTGTCTGTGTGGATGACGTAAAAACTATCAGTTTTTGTGTCGAACATGGAAATTCGTAGTAGGGCCGAGGAACTTGTGACCTAAATCTCCCCACACGTATTTTATAAACACTGCAATACTTTAAACACTACTATGACTATTATTAGTAAAGGATGTAGATACGGTTTGTGGCTTATGTGAAATATAAACAATTCCGCCTACATGTAGCTAAATCAATTGTTTTTATTAAATTCAACTTGACATATTTTTATGTTTGGACACACGCTGCGTAACGTGCATTTTGAATATATTACACTGTTCTTCTATCATTTTTTTAATTTTATATGAAATAATTAACATGCGGTTTATTTCCCACATTTCTATTATAGGATAATTAACTTATTGTGATAGGAATCTGGAATTACCATTTAGCTATTGTGAATAAATTTGCTGTCAATTAATTTTTTGAATACCTCAATAATTATTTGTCATGGATATGTCTTGTTTATAGAATTTTCGTCTCAATATTTTTTTGTTAATTTATGTATTTTGTCTTAATTTAAAATACTATCTTAAAATAATGAAATATAATATGCGTTCTATGACTAATATTCAGCTTTAAAAATAAACTCCAGTGTAATTTTACCTTTGTTAAATTGTATGTGAAATCTAAAAGTTATTGTATATAAAATGTAAAATTTATTTAAAGGAAGCTTGACACTAATGGAGATATAAATTATGTTTTAACATTAATATGGTCAATAATGATAGGGAAAAATGCACTTGAAGTCGATAATAATTATCTGTTGCTCTTTAAAGTATGTGGTTTAAGTGCTTATTGTGAAACCGCTATTGTTTATTTTAAGATACTGTATGTGTCTGCATTTCGTTTATTTCTGTTTTATATCCGTAACAAGCTGTCACAATGATGAACTTACGAAGGAAGTTCTTGATGTCCTTGCTCTCTGCAAATATCAGCATCCTGGACGACCTTCCTGCACCGGTTTACAATACAAGATCGCCCTTAATTTTCAAGATAGCCCCATATAAATACAATGTTTAATTTTTAGCGAACATCAGTCGTGGCTCATCCAGACAACACAGACCACAAGATGTTCAAGTTGGTGGTGTTGTCCGCTTTTCTCGCAGCTGTAGTGGCGGAACCTGCTGCAGTTTTGGCACCTATCGTCTACAGAACAAGCGTTATCTCACCCGCTAAAACGACAATCAATCACCAGGCCAGCAGTGTCATTCATCCATCTCCAATCGTACAGCCAGCACCCATAACTTATGCTGCACCAATCGCCTACGCCCATCTCATCAAGAAGAGATCAGCGGGATTCGCCTACAGTTCCGTCATTGCTCCGGCTGCATACATTGCGAAGCCTTTGAGTTATGCCGCACCATTGACTACGTACACCAGCATTACACCCTTGGCGACTACCTACTCCTCGCCGGTATATGCTACTGCTCATTTAATTAAGAAGAGATCTACTCCATTGCCTCGACAGACTAACTACTCTGCTATACTTCCCACAATACCGGCTGTTGCATCCTTGGTCACGTCATACCATCCAGCACCAGTTTACTCAACTAACTTTGTGTCCACAACTCCAATTGTTTATACTCATTTAATTAAAAAGCGATCAGCTCCTTTAGCTATTACTTACGCTGCACCCGGTTCATTCTCTCATCAGTCTAGACTAGACATCCGCACATCTCCGGTTATAACTTCTCATATTCCTTATATTCATTCTGCTCCCATAACCGTTGCCTCTTATTTCTAAAAATATTGTGACGATATCAAGGGTAATAAACTAAGATTCAAAATGCTTTGTTATAATTGATGTACAAGTATATAAAAAATAAATGTAAATAAATTGAATTAATAAAGTGATAATACAAAATATTTTTGATTTTTATTGAAAGTTGTTAAATAAATAAGTATAGTAAGTATGGTTAAAATTACAAAACGCTTGACATTATTCATAATATTATGAAGTTATAATCTACTAGCTTTCCGCCCGCAGCTTCGCCGCGTGGAGTTCGGTTATATCGCGTTTCCAAGAGAACCTTTCAAAAGTCTGGGATAAAAACTATTCTATGTTCTTTCTCAAGGTCAACTCTATCTCTGTACCGAATTTCATTAAAATCAGTTCAGTGGTTTAGGCGTGAAAGCGTAGCAGACAGACAGACAGACAGACAGACAGACAGACAGACAGAGTTACTTTCGCATTTATAATATTAGTAGGGATTAGCCAATATGATGTGTTAGTAAATATTCGGGAATAAGAGTTTAATTTAATTAAGGTGAAAAGGTGTCCAAACCAGACATTTAAAAGGAATATGTACAAAACACAAAACAAAAATCCACTTAAACTATTTCTTTATTTTAAAATTTCTTATCAATAAAAAAAAAGTATTTAGCACATCAATATAAATTATTTGTGAGAGATATTTTCTCATTCCTACATCCTAGCTGGTTGATAATTATATGTTTAAATTGTTTTTGTATTTGTTGTACTTTGCGAATCATTGTTTTCAGGATCTTTGTCATCAGCATTTAAATCTTCTTCATGTATAAATACCGGACTTTGTAAGGCTCTCGCCAATGGTAGGTTATGAAAGTAACTTAAAGCAACTGGCGTTAAAACGGTATCACTTAACACTGGACTGTAAACCGTGTTAGAATTTTCGTCCACTTTTCCAGGGTATGTTGCGTAAACCGTCGAACTATACAGAACAGGAGTTATAAATGCAGGTGTACTCTTCACATCGATTCTTGATTGGTGAGACACTGCACTTGGCGCTGCATATACTACCGGCAATAAATGACAGTCGACATTATAAGAAAGGTACAAAACTAAGAGCAAACTCAACATTTTGATGACGGTGAATCTATTGAGATGCAATGAGATGATTCATCGTTATATAGACAAGTAACGGTAGATGGTTGTACGTAACATTCAAGTTCGGGGACGCATCGAACAGGTTGTTGCATCATATGATATCGGGCAATGGCCGGATTAAAATGCAAAACAGCTTCTGCTTTATATATTGATGTAAACATTTATATACATGTAAGTAGATAATTAAAAGGTTTGTTTTAAAATAATATTCTTATTATACTGTATACCTTATAAACGTTATTAATATAAAAATAAAAAAGTGAATTGTTATAATGTTAAAAATATAATTTGTTAGAATATTTTTCTACCAATAATTACTTACAAGAACATACATTTGGGTAAGGTGTAAATAAAGCCGTAAAAATTTTTCAATGATCCTTTTTATGTCAAAGAATAACATAAAATAAATGTTTCCTGTTTTTAACTGTATTTATAATAGTGAGTATAAATTTAAGCTGTATACTCATATTACTGTAGTTTTTATTACGTTTTTCCATTGAAAATACTTAAATGTTTTCAATTATTACGTATTGGCATTCTTTTTTATTCTTATTCATTTAATTGTAAACAATTTTATAATGTTGAAAAGCCCAACAGACTGGCGGGCAATACTGTGTCCTTGTATATTTTTTTGCCTCAAGAAACGAAACCTTGAAGATTTCAACTTTTTTACTTTATTTATTTCTTGATAATGGTTTGTGAGAATCTAAAGAAATATTTAAAAGGGAACAATATTTATGATGGAATTCATGTTATAAGAAACTATAAGTTTCAGAACAAAAAAATATTTTTTGAATCGTAATTAATCTCATAATCTATGTCACTGTCATTGTAGATAGCTAATTATTATAAGAACCAGGTATAACTGACTTCAAATATGAGTTCGGAATTTAAAGAAGGATGTTCATTAAGTGATCAAATACCTTGAATGATCCAGTAACCTTTACTATCCCCGTCGTGACAATTGACAAATATGTTGAGTGCTTAATTTTCAAGCTAGAGTGGTTTATTTTCGTGGCATTTATACTGATGATCATCTAGGTTTCCTGTTCGCTCAAGTCTTCCATGTTAATCTAGTAATTATTTCTTGAAAACTCCGTCTTGATGTTTAATCATCTCAAGTTTTTTCATTCCTTGTTTGATAGATAATACATTTCGGTACAACTCATTATAGTCATTTAAATCGAGGTCTTCTTAAATATTATATCTATATTATGTGAATATTTTACTTATAAAAGCAGTCAATTTATTCATGAAGATTATTTAAATGTTACAGTAGCTCTGCTTGTGCTTTTTCTGTTACTTTATATGGTACGTTTTTCATATAAAAAACATTCACATCGATTTCATTAGGTATATTTTAAAAATAAATGACAGTTCATAAACATATGTGCGTCGTTCTTTTGAAATTTGAGGAATTATTTGTAAGGATTTAGGATAGCTTACATATAAATCGAGACATCAAAAACATATAGCTATATTATTTCTAATAAATTATGCTCTCGATATTAAAATTCATAAAATGCTTATGTATGAGGAAACATTAAAAAACATATTTAAATTGCATTCAAATCATTTATTTATTATGGCAGTGTTTACAATCATAGTTTTTGGGTAATACATCAGGAAACGGTTAATACCTTTTATCTCATTTACCAGGGATGAACGGAGTATGCCTTTGGTAATAAAGAAGAATATCCATAAGACGCTACAGCAGATGGATAACTGGCTACATAAGGAGCAGGGTAGGAAGATACCAAAGAAGAGTAGGAAAGAGGGGAAACTACATTGGGTACTACTGGAGCTACAACTGAACTGTAGGCTACAGGGGCTACTGACCGTTTTTTCAGATGGTGAACATTAAGGGCCTTGGCTTGATAGTGGGCTGCACGAGCGGCGACTACTTCAGGAGTATCCAGAGGTACACCGTTGACTCCATCCAAAACCACAGCTGGAGAGTTGGGGGCCTGGGCCAAAGCTACTCCAGAAACCACAGCCTGTGGGTAGAGTGCTGGTGCATAAGATCCGTAAACGGCGGGCACTCCTGCAACTAGGGGCGACCCATGAACCACGTCACTACTGTATTGAGATACAGAGCTTACAGATGAAAGAGGATAGCCATAGCTATAAGCTAATGGCACAACCCCGGGTTTGGCGGCAGCCAAGGCGAGAACAGAGAACAACACCACCAGCTTGAACATTGTGGTCTGTGTTGTATTGATCCAATTAGCAAGATCAACTGATGCTTCTCATATATTTCAAATGCCTTATATACTCGTATGAAGCTCTGAAATCGTTATGCAAAAAAGTCAACCAAACCACCTTCAAATGATAGTTGTTTAAATTATTTAGGTAGCCGATTCTTGATGTCAATTAAACTATTATTATATTTGTCGTCCATAAATTGATACGACAAAACCTTTTATGCGGAAGTTCTTTAAAGATCAAGGTAATTGGTTAGAGAATTTTGAGACCACCAATTTAGATATAATTAAAATATATTTTTGTTCTAATACTGTGTAAAAACAAACGAAATTTTAGCCCAAAATTTGATAATTTATTCCATTTAAGCAAAAAAAATTTTAACTCACAACGTGTGATGAAAAGGACAATGCCAGTATCGGACAATTTTCGTAATAACTTGAACACAAAAAAACCTTATATAATGATTACTTCTCTCTACCATAGTAAGTTTTTAGGTTCATCGTAAAAATGTTATTTTAGTACTGCATACCATTTAACAGCTAACTGTAGAAATTCATAATTTACAATCAATAACTATTATACAAGGAAACGTTGATTACACTTTTGATCTTTAACACATATGTACAAGTGATCTTTAGAACCAAATAAATAAAAATAAAATGGATACTAAGTAGACATATATTAAATTATATTTTCTTAAGTTAAATATATCCGAATCCTTCTGATATGTCATTTATATTTTTATTTTACAAAAAATATATTCTTTATATATGTGAATAAGAGGCAAATTATATTCACGTAATTTTGTTTTATCATTCACATCGCACTGACCTCAAAATTATAAAATAATTATTTCATAATATCTGATCAACTTAAACATGATATCTATTACTTTTAGAAACTAAATTATTTTTTTACTTTTTCGTTTCTTGTTTAAAGTCAGCTGTTTTATGTGTAAAAAAATATTAAAGACACAAAGTAAAACCTAAAAAAATACTAAAACTTTTAATTGATTCGCCAATGTTTTGCCAGTCTTATTGTTGTAATCTATTTTTAAACCCCATATTAAATAATAAATTCGTAGTCTCGATAACAATCTTCAATATTTGTATCACAATAAAAAAACATCGGAGATTTAATTTATAACAATAAGTAAAACAGATTGGTTGCGTTGGTATTCGTTTAAGGTTTTTTGTCTTGATGTTTAATTAATATGTCGTATGACAGAAGTTAATAATACAATGTAAAGTGGAGTTCGTTAATAATTTTTTGTCCACAAGGCACGAGAAATTGGTTTTTAATTGTTTCAAGCACTTTGCACGTGTTATAAACGCATTCTCGTTCTCAACTAAATAAATATTTATGAAGACGCGAACGTGTAACAACTTACCTGAATATATCAAAATTGTCACAATATTATGGAAATTTCATTGAAATTCCTTCATTGTATTATTTTGCTTTTATAATATATGAAGACAATGTTTGTAATCTTACTATCTTTATCAATATTCGTTATTAGAGCAAGTAAAGAAATTTTAAGAAATTAAACCAAACAACAAGTTTGCCTTTTAGTTATAAAATTTTAAAAACAATGTGATATAAATTATATGAAATAGCTTATATATGAAGTCAATTATTGTAGTATATAATTAAAAAACTCATTTATTAAGTCAAAGATTTTAAATAATTTGAAACAGTTATGATAAGATTAAAGAAATTTAGGAGTCATCAGTCAGATTAGGAAAAATCTTATTAATCTGTTAAAAGTTTTTACATTACCCTTTTATAAGCTTGTTCAGCAGTTGATGCTTCTGAATTAAGGGGATAGTCAAGTTAAATTAAATCCCATATATATGTATAATATATATATTTCAATACATTTAAACATATGTACATACATAACTGTACAGTATAGATACTTAGACACGTTATCTACGGTCAGGTAGTAATAAGTTAACAGTAAAATTATAAAGTTACGATTATTTATCATATAAATATTCCTAAATTTATAATAAAATATCTTTCCTACCGAATCACTTAGCACGAATTTTCTTTAAAGAAGTATCTTACATATTCACAATAGTCGTTGACGTCACCCGTTGATCTCAACACTTCATACCCTATACAATCTTAAAAGCAATCTGTAAACATCGTACATTCAGTGTCAATACAGCATGTTCACTCAGTTTTCTACATATTTATATAAGGTCACACGTGTTTAAAGAACAATACCTCACCTGTGCGCTCGTGCAGTGAGAAAAGTGTCAATAGTTTCGGATATGTACATTGTATAACATAAAAATAAGCTTATCCTTTATTAGAAATAATTGAAATGAGACAAACAGTTTAGCTTTATTCCCTTAGAAATTTAAATATTTCTCAGGATATTTAAATTCAAACCGTAATTATTTATCGATTTAATAGAAAACAATTAGTATACGTAGCTTTTATTCTTTCTATTAACTACATTATAGGTACTTTTTCATAGATCGTTATTGTTTTTTCCAACGTATGTAACTTTTTATATAAAAAATAATTTAAATAAATGTTCATCTTAATTTTTTTAAAAAGCTTTAAAAAATTATCATTAAAATATTTATTTTCAAAAAATTGTTGGGAATTGGAATAAATAAAATAATTGCAATATGATTTATATTTTATTGATGACTACAAATATTTTTGTCGACTGAACTGAGAACAATATTTCTCGTTTTCATAACGGCGTTTAGTAGTGGATTCTGTAAGCGTTGCCGATGACGGGGCTTGATACTGCTATCGGTGCAGAGTACAATGGAGAAGACACAAGGGGTACTGGAAGGGCTGAATAAGTAGACAGGATTGGAGGGTTCGCCAAATATCTTAAGGAACGCTTCTTGATCTGGTGAGATTCTTCAAAGGCTTTAGCTTCAAGATGGGCGGCACGGGCAGCAGCAACTTCAGGAGTCTCAGTGGGAGCAACTGGCAGTTCAGGTTTGATTTCTACAGCATCCTCGGAACTTGATACGGCAATGGGTTTAATTTCGCTCTTCAACAATGCAGCTGAGGGAACAATGGCAGGTGAAAAGAAACCTCATGGCAAGACGTAATGCTGCTAAGTCGAGATATAAACTGAGTCCTACAGACAACAATCTCCTGAAATACAAACGGCTGCGTAATCATTGCAGCAAAGTCTGTAGAGATGCTCAACGGAATTATATTCACGAATCAGTAAGCGTCAAGAACCCTGGCAAGGTATGGCGTTTCTTGAATGCGATGGGTATTGGCCATCAGTCACTAGACGTAAGAAATGTTGATGTTGAAGCCCTGAATAAGCACTTCACTGCGGCTACCATGGACAATGCGAATAAATGTCACACCCTGAATTCCATATCCACACGTCCTAAGCCTAATTTTTCTCCCTTCTATTTTACTCCAGTGACCCCTGATGATATCAGGAAGAGTATTCTTGGTATTCAGTCGGATGCCACTGGATGTGACGGTATCAGTCGTAAAATGATACTCCTTTCTTTTGATACCGTTCTTCCTGTTTTATGCCACCTATTTAATTTCTCCTTAGACTCAGGTATATTTCCCATTAGTTGGCATCTAGCTCATATCCTACCAATCCCTAAAATCGCTAATCCTACTCTGTCAGCTCACTACCGTCCAATATCTATCCTCCCTTTCCTTTCTAAGGTTCTAGAACGCATTGTCCATGGTCAGCTATCTAACTTTCTTACACTCAACAACATTTTAAGCCCATTCCAATCGGGATTTCGTCCGGGCCATAGCACCACTACAGCTTTGATCAAAGTCTGTGATGACATCCGCTCTGGGATTGATAAGAAAGAAATTACTATCATAGCTCTTCTTGATTTTTCCAATGCCTTTAATACTGTTGACCATGACATTCTCTTAGCTATTCTTAATTCCTTAAATTTCTCTGCCAGTGTTGTTTCTTGGTTTCAGTCTTATCTTTCAAATCGTCAACAGCGTGTTTTTGTTGACGGTAAGTTCTCCTCCTGTTGCTATCTCACTGCGGGCGTCCCTCAAGGTGGTGTTCTTTCTCCTCTCCTTTTCTCAATCTTTATAAATACTGTCACTGAACATCTTTCTGTTTCTTTTCACCTCTATGCTGACGACTTACAGGTTTATTTAACGACTCCTGCTGAGAACATTGCTAATGCTATTGATCTTATGAATTGTAACCTTAAATCGATTAGTGAGTGGAGCAAGTCATACGGATTAGCGTTAAATGCCAGTAAGTCACAGTTAGCCATAGTTGGCAATCCAAAACAACTTTCAAAACTTAGTCAAGTTTATGTTCCTCCCGTATTGTTTGACAGTACAACTTTGATCAATAATAATATTGTCACCAACTTAGGTCTTATAATTGATAATAAATTTTCTTGGACAGAGCAAGTGTCAAATCTAAGTCGGAAAATGTTTGCAGCTATTGGCTCATTGAGAAGGTGGAAGAAGTTGTTGCCAATCAAAACTAAAATTTATCTTTCGAATGCACTTCTTCTTCCCATTCTAGATTACGCAGATGTATGCTACTTAGGTCTATCAGAGGAGCTACTTGATAAGCTGGAAAGGTTGCAAAACATGTGCATACGATTTATTTTTGGATTAAAAAAATTTGACCACATCTCTGAATATCGTGCACGACTTGGATGGCTTACAGTCAGACAAAGACGTAACTTGCATGCCCTTTCTCTTCTTTACTCTATTCTTTTCTTTCCCCAAACTCCAACTTACCTCAAAGAGCGCTTTTCCTTTCTTGGCTCTAATTCTTCTCTTCATCTTAATCTTCGTTCTCTATCGGACAATAAACTTCAGTTGCCCCTTAGCCAATCACATTGTTACAGTGATTCTTTTACCGTCAAATCTATAAAATTATGGAATGCGCTTCCACATGACATAAGAATGTCTCAGTCGTTAAGTATATTTAAAAGTCGAGTCAAGCTTCATTATATGTCACTGTAACTACTCCTTTTTATATATATATATATATATATATATTTTATGTATGTATATATGTATGTATGTATGTAATATGTATGTATATATGTATATATGCATGTATGGTTGTATGTATATATGTATATTTAATTATTTGTGTGTATGTATACTCTGGTATGTATATGTAGTCTACGTTTTTTGTATATGTATTTGTATATGTAGTTGTTTTTTACGTTCTTGTGTATGTACTTATCATAATATGCACTACCCTTTCTATAATATTTGTTATCCTCATCGGTTGGGTTGCCTGTAAGAGATCGCTTTTAGTGATAAGGCCGCCCTTGCCTTAAATTTTCTGTTTTTGTTTGTAATGTTATTTCCTATATGTTTAAGTGCAATAAAGTTTATTTCTATTTCTATTCTGATGGATAAATGGCGGGAACTGATGCACTGTAAGCACTCAATACGGGGGCAGAGGCAATAGTGCTTATTACTGCTGGGGATGACTTAATGTCCAAACGAGATTGAGAAGAAACTGCTGCTGGGGCGACGGCAATCGGAGCAGAGTAGACTCCAGGAGCTACATAAGCAACTGGTGAGGAATATGATACTGGGGCTGCGATAGCAGCTGGAGCAGCATAAGCAGCAGGTGCGACATAAGATGCAGGAGCAGCAACAATAGCTGGTTCAGCCACTACAGTGCGAGCGACAGGAGCAATAATTTTTTCAGAAATCACAGCTGGAGATGATTTAATGTCTATCCGCGACTGGTGTGATACTGCAGCAGGAGCTAGAGCTACAGCTGGAGCAGCGTAGCTTATGACCTCAGATTGTATGAGCCCGGAAGGCTTGGCAGCTGTTAGCGCCATAACAGAAAACAACACCACCAGCGAGTTCATCGTGGTCTGTGTTAGTTCAGATGCAAGTGACAAAAGGATCCAAACTGATGCTTTCTTTTAGCTGACGATCATTTTTATACTATCGATCCCAAAAGTCAAGATCAACTTGTAGACTCGTTACGTCAGATACTAAGCCTGTCAATGCAAAACTTGTTTTCGATTGAAATATGTTAATGAATAAAATACTTGCTTAATTTTTTTTCTAAAATAATCTACAAACTTAATTAATGCAACTTTGTTAATTATATACTTGCAACGAATAATATCATATGGGAACTAACGTATAATTAATACCCTCCCATAAATTCGATCGGCAACAAAATGTATTTAATTTCGTATAAGTAGACGTTATCTCTATTTAGACTTTAACGTGTCTGGAAGGAATTAAATTATAACATGTATTTGCATAAGGTTATTTTATTAATCTATAATTTTGCTAGACTCGTATTGTATAGAGGAATTGTTGATGTGTGCCTATTATAGTTGACGACAGAAATGAGGAAAAAATATTTTAAAATCAAATTCTTTTTTCTTTTTTCCACTAAAGTTGTTACGAGACGTGTACATTATAACAGTGTTTCTATAATTTGGAGTAAAAGAGAAAACTTTTATTTTTTCTTTAATAATGGTTAGTAAAAAACAAATGTAATATTTTTACTGACATTTTAAAGTCCCGCGCATGAATCGACTGCAAAATCGCTTTGAATACTAGTTTTAAGACACAAGGCAATGCAAGAATATTTGCAAGTATTAAGAGGCTTCGCTGAAAGCTTATTTGTATTTAAATATTTTTTTAAATTGGAGTGCTTTATATAAAATATATTTTTATTTACTTAATACGTATATAAATTAATAAGAAATATCAAACATATAAGGGCGATAGATGGAGGCATTAGCATAATTCGAACTATTTTCTCCTACAAACTTAAACTGATTACATTCACATCTTACAGACATCTTACATTACTTATTAATATTTACAGAGAGTTTTTGAGAAGTAAATGTTAACAATTAACACTTGTAGGATACACGATAAAGCGTTATCCTTAAATTCCTAGTTAATGTGAGTCACATTTTAAAGGTGAGTAAGGTGTAGTTTACGAGTGTAATGAGGTTTCATAAATGAAATTTTTACTTCATTTTGAAAATAGTACATCATTTATCCTCATAAAATAATAGAGCTTTATTTTGAAGCACGTAGAAAGGTTAATAAAAAAAAATAACCAATATTTTAGTGAAAATATAATCTGAAAAAATATAACTTGAAAGAAGAATCTGCATCATAGAATATGTAGTCTGAGTCTTGAACCGGATTTTTTATGTCATTGTAGAGAGTACTTATTTTGGTATGCAATGTATAGAAGTGTTAAGCTTGTATAATTCTAAACACTATCAAAACCGATCACATAATTTATTTTATCTAATTTATCAAAATCTCCATATATTTATTTATAATAAAATACTTTTTGTGTGTTTTTAATTTTCTGTATTTATTTAAATATATTTCTTATAGTACCACCGTTATCATAATATAAAATCAACATTGTAAACAAAAGACATATTGCATAATTATACTTCCTTAATTTTTTTTTATTTGGTCATTAAAAAATATTTTTTAAGTGTATATTAATAAGTATTTGGATATGTAAATTAAAATTATAAAGATTGATTTTTAATATGAAATATTTTTTTATTAGAATAAAATTATTCTAGATGTATAAATACTAAAAGAGACTCTGAACGTATTTTTTAAACGACGATTATAAAATGTCGAACTACTCAATCTTGTACATCAGTCTGGGGTTCTTTTTAATGCTTGCGTTTATTTCTTCTTAATGATACACTATAAATTGAAATGTTAAAGTTTAAGTTGCGGCCTTGGAGGCTTTCGCTCAACCACTAGGTACTAGTCCTTAATTCGCTTTTATTTATATAGAGCTGTTTGTTTTTTTTATGTAATTGCAAAACCAAAGTTACAAAGGAAAATATTGTAAATTTATTGTACTTTTAATACCATTCTGATTTCCTATATTTTCTGAATATTAAACAACAAACAAATTTTTATATTACAATAAAGGCAATACCTACAATAATAAAAATATAAGTATGCAGTGAATTAAGAGCCCCGTTTTTTTATTGAAATAAATTATTTTTAATTCAATAGATTATTTTTACGATCAATTATATGTTTAGTTTGGGAGGTGAATAACATTTTAATATAGAAAAAAAAATATTAACACTATCGAATCGGAACATTCGGCTTCTAGAAAATGGTGTCTTTATTATTTTTTTTTATTTTTTTAGCAAAATGTAGATGTTGAGGAAAATAAACTTAGAAGAGGAATTTAAATCTACGATTATGATGGAAGTGATAATGTTATTGAAATAATATGCTACATATTTTATATACAAGTAATTTTTTTTATGTAATAGTTCGTTTTTTTTAATTTATTAATAGCCCTAAGTATATATGTAACAAGAACATTATATTTGTTATGAAGCGGTATGCGGAACGCAGTCCTTATATGGGCGTCGGTTTAACCACAACAACTCCTGTGTTCGAAAGGTAATTTATGGCTTATATCTGGGCAAAAAATGCAATTGATGGCTATGACTCCATCGTATTTCGTGGTCTGTACAGGAAACGGAATGTCAAATAGCACGCACATCTTTTCAGTAATGTAAATTTAAACAAGATCACTCGGTTGAAAATAAAAATCATGAATTAATCATTATCATAAATAGTAGGTTTCAATCCATTGTCAAGAGTTTTTTTTATTATTAAAATATTGTATTTAAAAGGAAATGTAATGTGTAATGAAAAAGAACGAACAAATAATTTAAGTTTATTTCATCGAAACGTCATCCAATTTTATAAACTATGTTTTAAATACGTTGACTGTTGCATATCTTGACTGAAGCCAAGCTATAGTTGGACAGGTGATTAACAGATTACCAGCCGTGACCAAGAGGAGCGGCGGCAACAACAGCGGGTGCGTGGGCGACCGCTACTGCGGGGGACGCAATCTGAATGAAATAAATAATGTTTTAATTCAAGTAGCATTGGTCATTATCATTGTTAATTCAAATGAAATAATGTGTTTGAGATATTGCTGTCGATATTTTTAGTTTGAATACATTTTAAAGAACATAAAATAATCAAGAAACTATCGTTAGTATTGTTCTTTTGAGTTTGTAACTCACTCTGACAGTGTTGGCGTATGAGGTCGCAACTGGAACGGCTTGTTTGACAATGGGTGCGCTGACAAGAGGTGCGCTAACGACAGCAGGGGCAGCGGCGATCAGACCACCTCCCCAGGCTCCTTGACCCCAGGCTCCGTGTCCCCAAGGAGACGCGATAGCGGGACCCACAAGACCAGGGGCAGCTGAGGCAACAGCCAAGAAAGCACAGAGAACGAACTAAAACAATAATAGCATCTTTTAATCTTGAACATATCCGTCGTCAACTTTTTTTTATAACAACAAAAACTAATACTGTTTCTTAAGAAATTTGATAACAATGTAGGTTAGTGCACCAGGATTTCTATTACCACACAAAGAAAAAATACCGGTAAAAAGTGTTTCGGTTTAATCGGCCTCGGCGGGTCGTTGCCGTCACTGAATGTCAAGTTCACTAAAAAAACATTGCAAAAAAGAGATTCCGAGACATTATTAAGCATTATATAAAGATAGATATAAAAAAAATTGGTTCTATTTAATTTTGATCTATTTTTAAATTTGGAAATGTAAAAAATATTTTTGAACGCTCTCACTTACGTTTTTATTATCTACACTTATTCATGATACGAGTAGAATTCAAATATCTGTCTTATATAAAGATTTATTAGGTAATATTATTACGATTATTAGGAGAAAGTAGCAGTACCAAAATTTAGACTTAAATATTTATATTTCACATGAAATGCAAAAAATAATAAGATTTTAATATAATAAGAAGTTAGTTTTATTAAACTTATTACTTACCAGTTTGAACATTTTGGTGGTAGGGGTTGTTTTGTTGAAGTCGATGAAGGTAGTTATCGAATGTGCTAAGGGCTTAAAACGTCGAGCTTTTATAGTGCTTAGATACATAACTCGGCCAAATGTGTTCCAGATCCTGACCTAGGTCATCGGTATCAATTTAGGTATGTAAGTACAGATAGGAACATAAATGCTTACAGTTTTATTTAATCTTTTGATATTGTTTTATTATTACGATTCTTTAATAATATGATTAGATTTTGGTCAATTGTAAAGAAGATTTTAGTAAATCACAAAAATATGAATATACAAAAATATTTTATCGTTATGAAAATAACTATTAGATCGCCATTTTAAGCTGTTTAAAAATAATTCAAAATAATTTTGAATAACACATTCCACATATTTTTACAGACGTTTAAATATATCTAGTATTTAATATTTGCTTCAACAAATACAATTTTGTTTTCATATTGTTCAAAACACAGCTGTAATGTAAATGTGTTATAATAAATATCAGTAATAAAGTCCACTTATTACATCATTGTCATTCGAATGTTCAAACTAGCAACCTAAATGTAATGAGAACGGAAAGTCTTACTTGAATACATTTTATTTTAATTAATAATAGTTCAACATAAAAAAAACTCTTGTCATTTTGATGACAGAAGAATGTGTTTTGTAGTGAAATACAATTGTGTATACAAAATATTTTCTGTATATATATTTATGAATATTGCTTTTCTATGTGTCAGTACTCTGAACACTTGGATATTGGTAATAAGTAATTTTTAAAAACTTTGAACTTACTTTTTAATAGCATGCCGTGAATACTTTTGATCCGTTAAAGATTTTATTTTCATATTATATTTACACTGAAACGTTATTGTTCATCGTAAATTAATCTTATAACAAATATTTTGCATATTTTTTTGTTAATATTGAATTATTGTATATAATCGAATCACAATTTGATTTCCTCGTTGTTTAGTTCATAGATAAAAAATTATAAAGACTGCTATGTGTACTTAAAATTATATATGATAATATTATAATTTATTTTTGAATTATATAACATACCTATATAGTGTATCCTTATTAAGGCGTTAATATTTCAACGATCAAAATTGTTTCATTGAGGTACAGTGTGCCGTTCTTGTAGACTTGACTTAATTTCTTGTTCTCTAGATATATGAAATTATTAAATGTGCTTGTGTGCAAGACACACAACAATATGACGTCGACATAGATTATAAACACACATTTTTATATATCATTCCATATTTTAGCTAATTTTGATTAACGTAATTATTTACATACCTTTTCAAACTTCCAAGATGAATTGCATAAAATTCGATATCTTTTGTGCTTCTGATTTATATTTGTTCTTATAATTATAAAAAGGTGAAGAGAAATGATATAGATACTTAATTTTATAAGTGAATAAATAAGTGTTTTATCTATTATAATATAAAATATGTAGTTTTTATTATATCTTGATACCAAACGTATATTAAACTTTCATAGGTCTGTATATGAGAGATCTCTAACTTTTTTATTCTGTGTAAACCAGCCTAAAGAGACAGGGTGTTTCAATGACACTTCTATGGCCAGTTGAACTACTACCAATATATCACGATAGATACGATATATGTAATTATATATGACACAGTTAGAATAAAACACATAACTATTTTTATTAATGTGGATTACGATATTCTGTGAGATTCAATTAATATAAATATTTGACTAAAAATTTAAAGATATTCTTTTATAATGCTTTTTTCTGGATTCGAGTAACCGATATTAGACAAAAATCAAACACAAAAATAAATTTAGTACAATTCGTCTTTATATTATAAACGTATATATACATAAACATAATACATTATAGCACAGCATTATTGAGCAAGTCACTAGGCAATGATATCACCGAGTTTGATTTACAAGTAGTAGGGGTAAGAAGACACGTATCTGGAGAAGTAAGGTGATGGTGCAGCGACGTATTGAGCTGCTGGAACAACTGGGGCTGGGGCAACAAGTGGTGCGGGGGCGACCACAGGAGCGGAGGCTACCACAGGAGCGGCAACAGCGTGGTTTATTGAGTGAGCGGAGTAAGAACTAGCGTAAGGAGCAACGGCATATGCAGCAGAAGCAACAGGTGCTACAGCTGGAGCTACCAGAGCTGCCGGTGCAGCAGCTAAAGGCAGAACTCCAGCATTTGTAGCGGCGATGGTGAGGGCGAAGATAACCTAAAATTAATCAGAAAATTGTAATTAGTAATTAATAAATGTATTGCATTTTCATATTTTTTTGCTACGTTTGAAGTTATTGTTATAACATAACCAATATGTTTAATTAATATTATACTTACAACAAACTTGGCGATCATTTTGCTTGGATATGTGACTGCTCACAAGTAAGTATACGAAAGTATTCGATTGACTGTGTCGTCTTCTGGACAACGGCACATTTTATAGCAAGTAACAATTTCATTGGGCAATATGGCACGTACCATGAATTTAGAATTGAAGCGTAGGTTATTGTTGGCACGACGTTTTTTACCCAGACGCAGTAGACGAGCAGCGCATTCTAATTGAAACTCAGTGCACATTAATTTCACTGTACATTATGTAACGACGTAAAGGAAAATTAATATCATAACAAATGTATCCGCACACTGAATATATGTACAATATATTATTTATACTTAAATATATTTAAAGAATATTCATATTCATAATTAAGAATAGTATATTTCTGACCAATTAACCTCATCTTTTATGTAGTCTAATCAATACTCATATAATATTCATAAGTATCATTCTTGTATTTTCACTAGTGAACGTACAAAATATATAGTTTTTAAAACAAAGCAATTGTGTTACAACAGATTTTTAAAATCGATGAACTTTAAAATGCGCCTTACGATTTAGTATCAACATTAGTATGGTGCAGCAACATTCACAAAAAAATTTCACAACCAAAAAGTTTCCCAATGTGCTCCATTTCTCCTCGCTAGCCTTTGCGAATCCCAATTGACTGACCGCAATCCGTCAAATGTTTATTCTGTTGTACGTAATCTGAATCACAATATCCATACTATAAAAACCTTAAGCTTTTTCTTCTTAGTCACATTACACGTCCTTTTCTCATTAAGGAAGGTCCACTAAACATAAACAAAATGTTTTTCTTAAAATCTGTGAGTATTTATTTCAAACTTTACATTACTTATTACTTTAAAGTTGTATACAAAAAATTAATTATGTTCTTTTACTTCTAGATTGTTATTTTTGCTGTAGCGATCGCTTTGGGCGCAGAAGCCAGTGGAGTATTACCAGCTGTAGCCGCACCTCTCGTTGCATCAGCTCAAATAGGATATGCCCATGCTGTACCGCAAAATGTTCCCCCATATGCTTCCCAAGTCAGCGTCGTTTCCAAGGCGATTAACCCTATTATTGCTGCATCACCACTATCAGCGCCAATTGTTGCACCAGCGCCTGGACCATTTGCAGCACCAATAGCAGCTAGAATAGCCGCACCTTATGTTGCTGGCCCAGCACCAGTGATTCCTGGTGCTTATGCTGCAGCTCCTTATGCCCCTGCTGCTTATGCCGCAGCTCCTTATGCTGCTGGACCCTATGCCGCAGCTCCTTATGCCGCTGGCCCTTATGCCGCCTCTCCTTACGCTCTTCCTGGTCCTTTCCCTGCTGCAGCTGCTTATGCCTCTCCATACCCTTATTCACTGGCTGCCCCCCTGGGACGCGTCCCATTCGGCGTTGCACCAGCATTTGTACGATAGATTTTAAGTTTAACTGTAGTAGACCTTCCAAAAAGACTTTAATAATATAAGAATTATACAATATTAATTTTTAATAAATAATTTTTGTATTAAATTTATTTTTATTTTTGAATCCCAATGTATTATATTACAATCGATATATATAGTCGTATATCACATTCAAATTATTATCTAACAATTCATTCTATAAATTTTAAAATCATAATCATATTTGAAATTTAGAACATCCCAAAGTACGGTTATAATGATAGTTGAATATAGACTAAAACTAAATCAATATACTTTTTTTACTATCTTAACAGCTGTTGTCTTTACGAGACACATGTAGAATTATGTTGTTTTGCATTGCTTAGTGTCCATTTTATTTCTTCACGGTTTTAATTTTCATTAATGTAGCTTTATTAATTAAGACAATATTAATGTTAGAAATTATCATAATACATAAGTCATTAGAATACACTTTTTAACATATAGTATTTAATTAATTACAAAAATAAATTTAAGTTACCATGGTTGCAACGCAAAGATATAATAACTCTCTGGATTAATACTTAATTATATTTATATTACAAAAGCTAAATTCTTACTTGTGTTCTAGTGTTCTATATCATATATCTATGTTTTTATTAACCATTTTAAGTGTATTCATTTTTGTTAAAAAGAACCCAACAATTAAAAGAAAATCAATATTTCAAGAAAGAGATCAAGATTTTTTATGATTAGGATAGGATTTCCAGTAGGTTTGCAAGAAAATAAATTTCTATATTCAGTACAAAATGTATATTAGTACAAAATACCTTAAATTAAACAACATATGACTATACTTTACAAACATAACAACACAGTTTTTAAGATTAACAGTTCATTCGAAAGAAGAGTGATCACTTCCATGCCACTTGTTTCACCAGATGTGGTGCCAATAGGGGAGCAGGGGCTGGGTATACAGCCTTAACAAAATGATGATGTGGTAATACAGGAGCAGGGGCAAATACTGGGGCCGGGGCAGGAGCAAATACTGGGGCAGGGGCAGGGGCAAAAACTGGGGCTGGTGCAGGAGCAAATACTGGGGCAGGAGCAGGGGCAAAAACTGGGGCTGGTGCAGGAGCAAATACCGGAGCAGGGGCCACAGGCCTTATAATTGGTGAGAAAGGTACAGAGGGTAGAGCGTATCTAGGTATTGCTGGTAAAACTGGAGCGGGAGCATGGGCAAACACTGGAGCAGGAGCCGCTACCGGAGCGGGTAATGGCGCTGGCAGGAATGAAGCTCTTAAGACCGGTGCAGGAGCAGGGTACAATGGAGGCGGAGCTGGTAGTACTGGAGCTGGTAATGGCGCTGGAGCTATGACCGCTGGAGCAACCGCTCTTACAGCCGGCGCAATGGCATGGATAGATCTTACGTTCGGGAAACTATAAAATGGGGCGTAACGGACCACAGGTACTGATTTTATTGCAGGGAAGAAATGTCCCACCCCACTAGCTTGGCAGCTAGCTATGAGGGTAATGGTGAGTGATATCTGTAAAGAATTAAATTGAATGAGTGTTTTTATTATATTTTTAGCAAATATTTTAATGAGCGTTTTTTTTTTCAAATATATATTAAATGGTCTTACATATTTAATTAGGGACATGTTTTTGCTGCTGTCGATCGACCTGTTGAGTTGAGTTGAAATGTAGAAGTATATTAATATATGTGTCACAGGTCATTATATACTAAATACTGTTGCAAGCGCGACATCTATATTCGTATCTATAATGTTTTCACTTTCCATAGCCAGGACATGCGCATGCTCAATTGGGTGTCAACGCGGACATTATTGATGACCGAATGTATGATGACCATTATAGGTGACTTACGTAACAAATATAGGTTTCGTTACACCATAAGTAACGCAGGTTTTTTAATATTTTTATGTTCTAAGTATAGTCTAAAGGTGAATTATTTATGTTATACTAAACTTCCTTACAAGTCATAAATTCCATAGAAAAATATCACAAATATTTGAACTTATTGAGCAGACTTATAAAATAATAAATTCAAAGTTATACCATTAACATAATAAAGGATATATTTTGTGTCGTTATTAATGAAAACACAGTAAAGGAATTAGCAAAACTGCCAATATAGGATAAAAAATATGTTATATGTTATGAGAACTGTGATAAAAACCTCACTAATTATTCTAAAAACAATTTTCCTCTAAAAGTGTTTATAAAGAAATGTATTTTTGAATATTCAATTCTGTATTCTCGCTTGAAATGTTCTAAAAATAGTGGCTTAAATAATCTTTCAATATAAAATGAAATTTCCGATTTTTTATAAAGTATCGTCTTTATATAGGTTGATGATTAGTATTCAGTTGGTTCTATGGCTTACATAATACAAGTAACCTGTACTTGAGTATAATTCTTCATTTTCCCGAGTCCAGACTTAGATGTGATTTGATTTTTCAGAGATATTTTATTTAGGTTGAGGTGTAGTAGTGAAAAATAATAAGAAATTATGTCACATTGAATTCAATTATTCTGTAATTACAAATAATTCGTTTTGATTCATTCCAGGTGTATTAAAGAATTATTAATGTATAACTAACACATGTACTTCGTAATTTGTATTGGAAATAAATTATTGTTGTTATATTATTGCATGTTAATTTTGGAAACATGAAAACGAATATGAGCAATATTCGTAACAGCTCCAATAAGAGTCACATTGAAATATTACTTTGATGTGGGGATTCTGTGCGTAACAAGGTACAAAGGGTTCTAATACTTACTTTTGCCAAGGACTATCGACTTCCTTGAAACGACTAAAAGTATGTATTGAGAACGTTCTGTAAATATTTACGTAATTCATAATTTTGTTAATATGTTTAATAACCGATCCATGCCATTAATGCGTTTTCTAAAACACATATACCTACTGTAATATGATGGATTTTTTTTTATAAAATTGAGTTTTATTTGTAAAATTAATTCATAGAACAAATCTTAATTTCCCTTTGTTTGCTTATATCTATTAGCATTCCCTACACACTATTTTAATTGCCTTTTATGATAAACGATTTTACACAACAAAAAATATATTTTTGTATACTTAATATAATTTCCATTTTGTCTATGGTATTAAATACAAATTATTTTTAAAGTATAATAAGGAATAATAGTGATTTTTCATATAATATTTTGTCGATTATTGTTTGCAAATTGTAATAAAACAATAAATAAATTATTCAATTCATTTATTCTAGTTCGGAAATTTATTTACTAAGTCTTCTATTTCAGGGCAACGAATGGGGCTGACGGGGCGTAGTAAGGAGGGGCAGCGGCAACTAAAGGTGCTGACGGAGCCAAGAATCGTGCTGATGCTGCGTAGTACGGAGCAGCAACAGAATAAGGCGCAGCCACTGAGTATGGTGCCGGTGCAATCAATGGAGCAGATGCTACAATTGGGGCAGCAACCAAACCGTTGTAGTTTCTGGAGATATATTGAGAGCTAGAGGCAGCTACAAAAGGTGCAGGTGCTGCTACAAGCGGTGCCGGTGCAGCGATGAGAGGAGCTGCAACTGGTGCAAATCCAGGCTTTGCAGCTGCTACTGCCATTGCAGCAAGAAATACGATCTGGAAAAAGGTTATTACATTTACATCCAGTATCAAAATGATCACATATTAAATTTGCAAGTCAAAATACCTTTCCGAACATGTTGTGTTTAGTTTGTTGTGTCGATCAAAGGATCTTTAAGTGGTATGTGTAATTTGAGACAATCGTTACCTTTTATACAAACAGAGATTCGCCTTGTACGTTTCGTCACTGGTTGCGTTGCAGCTTATTAGAACCAGACCACGCGTCGTTGATGTGTGCAAGTCGTACTGAGTTACGACAACATACTTTGAATGACCAACGAATGACCGATAATGTTTGTAAGGATTTACATCAGTTTGAATGTCATGTGTTATGTGATTTGTCATAAATGTCCGTACTGTGATATCGTAATTCAAGTTTGTACCAGTTTAAAATTAAATACTAATTAAATGTATCTCGGTAGTTTAATAATTCTTACCCTATAATGCTAACTTTTGACATGGGTTAATTGATCCAGTTTAGTGATTTAATTTCTTGAAATTAATAGCATGTTTGGAAATAAATATACAGTTTACATTTACTAGCTGGCCACAGCAACTGTCACCAAACTAAAATTATCAATTCGCTTTAGTTAAAATCTAGTAAAAGTTTTACACGTTTAAAGAATATAACCAAATCTTGATGTTACACTGTCCACAAATTAATCACAATAAGTAAAAATCCTTTCTAAAATGTTGATGTCTATTATATCAACTTACTAAAATGTGCTCTTCTAATGGTTTATCATAAATACAAAGAAAAAGATACCAAAGTATTATCGATTAAATTAATTTTGTCCTACCATCATACCATGTCGTAACAGTAGAAACATAATATTATTTATTCATGATTTTAAAATGCTATTTATTGACCAGGGCTAATAAAATTTGAAGATAGCACAGTCGATTTTTAACTAAAAATGTTTGCATTTGTTACAAAAGAGATAGTCCAGAAACAACTGGAGATATTACTATCAGTATACAAGTCAAAACAATGTTTTTTTTTGATTTTTTTTTAAGACTATAGCGGTTGTATATATTATTTTTAATAGAAACCAAACTATCAATGAGTACACAAAGACATTTTATAATCTTCACACGTACAAAAATTTCTTTTTATCCCATTTTAATGTATAATTATAAAATATTAGGTAAAAAATTAAAAAGTGAATAATTTCATTATACTCGATTAAAAAACAGATCCTTCAGCATCTTCTTTTATCGAACATTGTCGGTTTAAGTTATAAAAAGTGTTATAAATAGACTCAAAGAGAAATCAATTATTACAATGTGTTCTTAAACATCTTATAATTGTTATGAAAATTATTTCAAATAGTTTTTATTTAAATTCAATATACGTTATAAAATTTCAATATACATATGATTTGTTTCAGATTTGTCTACGAATTCCATCGAACATGTAAATTGTAAATCCTTTAATACGACAGATATAGAAAGCTGCGAGTATTTGTATTAATAACAGTGTTTTCTGAATGAATAGCTCAAAATATTTTTTATTAAATATTTGACTATAATTTATTAATACGTTACATTTCATCTTATGTTCTGTACTAATAATATTTAGTAAATCTATTGTTTAAAAACCTCTAAAAAGATTAATGAGATTCAAATCGCCCACATTTTCTCTATATCTATAGCTTCAACTTAAAAGTTTGGTGTATTCATTAATATATGAATCTAGATTCCTTTAAAAATCATTAAGGCTTAACAATACATTTCGTATTCAATTAAAAATAAAATAAAATAAATATACAAAAATATAAATATGTATATTGGTATTCACAGTTGTTATCTTAACATAGTGTAGTATTTAACAAGTGTATTAGTGATTAAAAAATATTAACTAAGGAACGATTATACTCCCGATGGCTTCTTAATTGGTCTATTTAAAGGTAATAATTTTGTTACTTCAGTATTACGAGGCTTGGATTTGTTGCTTTGAGAATATTTCTTTGATATTTTCCTCACCACTCTTGGTGGTCCGTAAGTCGCCAAACCTGCAGGTATACGCATCACTCTTGTTCTTATTGGTCCGGATATTGGCCTTATAATTATTTTGTGCGGCTTTGGTATAAATGTATGGAAATGTGGTACGACTTTTATAGCTTGGTGATGATGATGATGATGATGCTGCTGGTGGTTATGGTGGTGGTGATGGTGCAAATTAAGTGGTGGGGGAGCAATATATTGTAACGGAACCGGCACTACTTCTACGCTGGTTTTAATTTTTTGAGGATGTGGTAGAGGGTTAGGCTGTGGTGCCAGATATTGTCTAAAGTTTACATTCTCATTTGAAGGTAGCGCTTGAGCGAAACTGTTATCAATATTTGTTGGTGCAGAGGTTATAGAGTCTTGTTGACGTTCTGTTGTTGTTGTTGTTGTTGTTGTTGTTTGAGGTTGGATTGTTGTACTTTGCTTTGTAGTAGTTTCTTTTCTTTGAGGGTCCTCTGTAGGAACTGGAGATGGCTGAGGCACAAATCCAAATGATGGCGGGAATCCGAACGGGTAAGGAGGAAGAAGAATTGTGGCTACAGGCGCCGCAGCGTGAGCAGTGGCTACAGCTATTGCAATATTTGGCTGATCTGAATCATCTTGAGGTTGAGGTGGATTTGTAGGCCTTATTGGAATCGACGTCGTTCTGAAAGCATCCACCACTTCAGGTTGGCCGGATGGCACCGGGAACACAGGTATTATAGGTCTGATAGGAGCAACTGCTACAGGTGGTTGAACTGGCACAGGGGCTACTGGAATCACTGGTTGTACCACTGGATTCGCTGCCACTAAGCGATTAAAAGTCCTTTCAAAATATTGTGAGCTGGATGCGGTCACGATCGGAGCTGAACCAGCGGGTGCGATCGGATGCAAGCCGGAACTGCTCGACAATCCACATAACGTACACACAATCACAATCTGTAAGAAAGAAATATAATCATTATATTATTTGTATATCTATTTAAAATATTTAATGTTTTTTTATTTTATGTACGTCATACCGTCGCAAACATGATAGCGTACCCCACGGTATCACTTTATAATTGAAATGCGCGCGTTAGAAAATGGGGTGCTCGCTTTTATATAGGTGTAACAAATTTTGCATCGCAGTGTGGCAATGTGGCCAGTGTACCGGAATACCTAATGGTTCAATGGGTAAGGACATGAACCTTGATGGCTACAAAAATCGTATTGAAATTACGACCAAAGAATAATAATATATGGTCGTGGACAATGGGAAAGTACTTAGTGTAGCCGTATTGGTTCATATTTAATAAGTGGTTGCGTATGTATTATGTCAGAGTTTGGGAATGATGGTGACAAAACATCGTAAGCTTTTCATTTACTCACGAAGATAATTTTTTTCACATCTCTCGTAGTATAAATCAAAATAAATTGCTTTTATTTTCAATTTGTCTTTGTGTATATCAAAAGTAACATAAATCAAATTGTATTTTTACAGGTACACTTCTAAAGATCATGTATAGTGTATAATAAATAGACAAATTATATTACCCCGTACTGACTAGCCTACTGTGAGTGGTTACTTTTCATAGAGCGGGAGAGTTACTTTTCATATAAAGATACTTGCATTGTTTTTGTATCTTCCGCTTCGTATCGTAGTCCATTCCACCCTGTAATAATAAATGATATAATTTAATATTTTTTATTATAACAGACTTATTATTTAAAAATTATATGTTTTCTGCTTAAATTAGGTGCATATACCTAAGTTTTATAAAGTTGCTTCTTAATTATTTTTATTCTTTTTTTTTCAATTAATTTTATCTTTCCTGTTTGAACATGATTAATTATAAAAAATATTTTTATGGTAAATATAAAACCTTTTTTATTTTTATACAAGTAATTTAAACAAATTAATTATTTTTAAATTTGCTCCTTTTGCTATACCAAAGCAATGTAACAACAAAAATCTTTTGCTATATATATTTATTATATACACGGCAGTTACTAAAAATAAAGCAAGTGTACTAAAATTAATTATAAGAATTATTGTTTCTTTTATTTATAATAAAACATTATCGAAATTTAAATTACTCTTAACTTACATATAATGTCAAAAATAATGGACCAATCTAAAGGAATCACACTACATACAATAAAACAAAACTTAACAGGTCCTAGCTGGCGGTGTCCTCCTTCTGTGAGACGGTCATATCCACGAAGGAGGCATCTGAGCGGGTAAGGGAGAGTGCGGTTGATGCACCCTCCCTCCGCAGACGACGTACGGGGGTGCGACGGAGGCAATACCAAAACCTCCAATAGCACCCCTGTGCTCCGGGCCGGGGTCGGCGTGGTAACCAGGCTCCAGTGAAGGCCCGGCGTCGTCGGGGCGGTCCTAATTGCCGGGATCGCCCCCATTCTTCGAGGGAGTAAGTCCGGTCTTTGCCAGGACCGGCCAGTCGCTGGTGCGCCCTGTCGCTGACAGATCCGGGGTACACCAACATAGCGGCCGATGGCTTTCGCAGTGGTTTTAGTGAGTAGGGGCCTGCCCAGGTCGAGTCTCACACATCCCTTCCGGCCCCACCAAGGCCGGTTGGACGGCTCGTAAAGTTTCCCTGCGTAAACAAAAAAAAACGTAAATGTATTTTTATCTACATGTCTATTTGAAATCAAAGGAGATAGAAAGTATTGCATACAATTCTGGGCCCTCAATGTAAAGACACGAAAATAATATCAATTAAAAGGTTCAAAATTAAGAGTTTCTTCATTGAAAGTTCTATAGAAATAGACAATCAGATAGTCGAGTTATTGGAGGTTTAGCAAAAGTGAGGTTATATTACATTATCTTTAAGAGTTAGATGAATACATTTAAAAGTATGTGAAAAATAATAATTTTACTAAGAAGAGAATATCTGATATGTTATAACAAGGCAAGAAAGACTCAAAGATATACAGATATCGGTAACAAGTATGGAATTTTACGAGGAATAGGAGTGAACTATGTGATAAAAGTCATAAAATAAAACAAATAATTTTAATGGAATATTTTATTCCTCTTCAATAATAATTAAAATATCGTATAGGGACTGTGCAGGGGGTACAATGCTACTAGTTGCTATCCCACAATTCACAAAGCGATCCATCGATTCAGTAATATCCAATCCACAAGCCGGCGAAATAATCCAAATTAACAATTCCAAGTCAAACGTGCAGGCGATCGTCGGTGTCCAATGTGAAAGCAGGGGTCGAAAACATTGAGCGGGTTCTGAGTCTGTAAAAAACAAAGCAGTGGTCGTTGAAAACGTAAAATGATCAGGAAAGCACTCGAAACGCATCGAAAAACACGAAACAAGTCAGACTCAAATAATAATGCATCTGGCATGGTAATTGTTAAGTGTCAATGTCATGTTGCCATAGACCATATACTGAATGATTTCGATCGATATGAAATCGATAATCGAAAAAGATGTTTTAAAATAATATTTAATATTATTATTATTATATTAACACACGTTATCAAAAGTTATTTTTATTGAATTGTAGACATATATGGTGTAGTTTAAATGAAATTACTATAAGTTTAAAACTAGAAGTGAAGTTTTTATTTTGTAGTTAAATAATCGAATAATCATTTTTTATTCAATTAATCGTTAATCGATTGCTTTATAAAAACAGCTTTTTTCATATTTCTCCGCTTGTAGATTGAGAATTTATGCAGATTTTTGGTATTTCATACAAAAAAATAAAGTATTTTTTTAAATCAATTTTGAACTTATTACATTTTGGGCCCACTAGTTTCCATCTCCTTTCTCTACGTTAACTTACATCTTTAATCTTTAATTTTGTTTCTTATCCACCTTAAAAAAAGAGTTTCTTGAGTTAACTGCATATTTTATTTTGTCAGTGTAATTTTATTACATAGTTTGTTAATATAATATTTTTATGAAGATTCGTTATTTCCTTTGGTCATGTTCGTGAGGTGTTCTAATATACTCTTTAAAGAAACTGTTTCAATCATTAAAGATATCTTGTCAATTTATGAAACTAATGTTTGATGTACCTACTCCGCGATTTTTATTATTTTAAACTACATACTCTTGACATTTCAGTTACTTTTTATCAACCATTTTTAGCATTTTTGAGAAACTTATTAATTCAAAAAATTTTAGGATTATAGTATTCTAGTTTATTAGCTTCTTCTGTAAGTGTTGGCTGATATTTCAAAATACATTTACTTACTCTTGCAAAAAATAAGACGTAAATAAATATAATTTCACAAAAACCAATATCAGATTTAATACCTAAATGTAAAAACTTCAATTAAAAGATGAAATCCATTTCATATGGTTGAAAAGTAATGTTGGCGGGCAGCCAGAGTCAGTTGTTGTTTTTTTATTGATTTCATGATCAATAATGATAAGATATATTTGACAAAAGTAGTTACATTTAATTTTAAGAAAATATCTATGAAAATGCAGTTGTTTCAAAATTCTTTCATGATTATCAAAACCACAGATTAATTGTTAGTTAGGATATAATGTTTTTAAGTGAATTGTTTATTCTTTCAATACCTATTTGATTTATTTGTAATAATGATAATAAAATTAAACAAAATGAGAGGAATCTCTCATTATGATAGATCTACCTTCTAAACCTTCCATACAAAATAATGGTGATTTGGCACTGGAAACCTTAGCGAATAAATAGATAAAGTTTTGTTGGTAAGCGAAGTTCCGTAAATTAAACGATATTTGAATGGCATTAAAATCTTTATAACATAATATCACATTAAATCCAGTTCATTTAGACAGCAACAACAGCAGGGGAAGCGACGTAGGGAGACGCGACATAGGGAGATGCTACATAAGGTGACGCGGCGATATAAGGAGAGGAGGCAGCTACATAGGGAGCTGATGCGACGTAGGCGGCAGGGGCAGCGACGTAGGCAGCGAGACCATTGTTAATGCGGTGGAAGTACTGAGAGCTGCTGGCTGTCACAATAGGAGCTGGGGCGGCCACCAGAGGAGCGGCGACCAGAGCTGGCTTGGCTGATACCATGGAGACGAGCGCGGCCACGAGGACGATCTGGAAATATATTGATTATTTAAAACTAGTTATCAAAGGAATAATAATATTCTATTTAATCGCTTATTACAATTTTAATCACAATCATTTTATTTTGTAAATGAAATTAAAGTAAGTATTTATGGATAATTAATTAGAGCATTACTGATTTTAAACAAAATATTTGTATATATTTTGTTTTATTTGATAACAATATTTTTATTTTACAAAAAATAATTTTACTATTGAAAACGTATCAACACTAGTTTAAATAACACTTTATTGAATGAGAAGCCTTCAATAAATACAATTTCATTTAAATGTATTAGAAATACTTACGAGTTTCATCATATTGAAGGTTTTAATGATTTTCTTGTTAGTTCAAGAAGGCAAATGATAGTTGGTGATGGTTCAAACCACATTTTATAGTAGCAGACAGTCAAACATGGCGCAACGAATGTAAGAGACATTGTCTTTGGCATTGGATAAGGCGTGATTTGAATCAAGTTAAATTTTTTGAAATAAGTCGCATACTTTTAACCTTACATCTCATTTTAACCAGGAAATTATTATTTTTGAACTAAATCTTATCCTATTTTAATTTCATCGCACAGTATACGTGAAAGGTGATAAAAATAATAATAAGCCAATTTAATTTTCGTTGACGAAAATTTAATCAATCAGACGAAATAATTTATAAAGCTACTCTATAATATAATTTTTCTAAATACTATAAATATTATTGTATAATATAAAACTACACAAAACTTAAAGTATAAGATTTGGGTACAATGACAAATAATAGCTTGAAAATAGGCTTATTAAATAAAATAAATAATAAGTAAGAAACAATTACAAATTATTTATTTGTTACTTAGTAAATACTTGGGCTTCTAATAAACAGAAGTCATACAAATATTTTATAACATTAATTATTCTTATCAATGGTGGAAATGGACCCTGCATTCTGGACTAATTTCGCCTTTCAAAATAAAATAGTTTTATATCCGTCATATGTAATTGCGAACATCTTTTCGTTTCCTATACTCATATGTGAAGTTACTAGCTCGAAATGATCTGCAATCCTTCATAATAAAAATAATAACGAAATGTATCCGAAAGGATAAAGACATTTAATAGATTCACCAGTTATCAAAAATAGTATTTGATCAATTAAATCTACACGTTTCTGTTATTAGCATTGCTAAAATATTTAATATGTTTTATTGTTATTTTTTTTATATCAGTTAATATTAATTCATAGTTATTTTTTGTATATTGTGCTTTTATAAAAGTCATTAAAAGCACTAGTTGTGAAATATCTTTATTATATGCTATATTTATAAAGTGGAATTTGTTTTTTTAAATGGAAACAATGAAACTATTATTTAGAACTAATACGGTAAAAACGATCTTTCTCTTCTTCTTCCAAGACCGTTTTTCCAATTATTTAGGGTCGGCCTTCCTTGCCCTGAGTTTCCATAAAGGGCGATTTGTGACGAGATCTTTGTTAAGGTCTTTTTCTATCAGGTCCTTTCGAACCGTCGTCAACGAGGAGTTGGAGGGCCTTCCACGTTTCCGCGTCGTCATTTTCAAGTTCAATGCTATTTTGACCATGTGGTCTCCCGGTCTTCTTTGAACATGGCCGTACCATCGTCTGCGAGTCTCTATAAGTTTATCTACAATGGGAGCAACTTTGAAGCTACCTCTGATAAACTGTTTTCTAATTTGGTTTAGTAATGTAACGCCAGCAGGCCAACGTAGCACACCCGTTTCTGAGGTGTGAATATTGTTAAGGCATTGTTTGTGGTGGCCCAACATTGTGAGCCATAAAAGATTGCAGGTATAAGTTATAACCGCTTCTTTATACTAACTTTGCCTTTCACCCTCAGTAGTATTTTATCGTCACACGTAATACCTGTTAAATGGATTAAGCCATCCTGTGGTGGTTCTATGTTCCACGTCTTTATCAATTGTTCCATCGTGACTTATAATTGAACTTAGATATTTAAAAGTATCAAGGTGTTCCTCACCTTCTCTGCGGGGTATTCTCTATGTACATTTTGATGTATTGTTCGTGATACCATCAAAAACACAGGACATATGTTCCGTCTTCTTCCTACTTATCTTTAGCCTGCTTACTTATGTTCCAATACTTTTATCTATTGATTGAAATCATTTTGTAGGTCGCCTCTATTTTCAAATATTAATTAATTTAATGTTAAATACTATATCAATAGACATATGAACATTCTGTTTTCTTTAATCTGATTAGATAAATTAAACTCATTGTTCAAAGTTTTGTTTCTATGTGTTTTCTAACACTCATTATTAAGGTAATCCGGAAAATATTAACTAGACTTATTATGACTAATGTAATAAAACACTTATTTGTTTTTAAGTTAAAACTAAACTTCACTCAGAATGAATTACTCCGAATATAATAAATCTATATAAAAATATTTTCTAAGATATCTGATAATTTTCACCTTGTGTTTTAAAATTAAGTCTAAATTGTACTACGTTTTTGGTTGACATGAATTTGTTAATCGATGACGTGCTTACAATATATAAAATCATTTAAAATGAAATCCATAACATTATGTGCGAAAAGGTAAACTTAAATAATCCAAATTAGTGAAATCTCCAGTCAACTTGTTTATCTGTATTTGCGCTTATCGATCTTGATATGTTAATAAGAAAAATTGATTGTTTTATGATATATTAAACGAATAAGTGAATGTAGGTTCAAGCTTTCGTATCACGTAATTAAATATTTATATTGGAATTAATTAATTTTATATACATATACATATACTCATTTTCTTAATTCATTTATTACTGTTCGTTGCTTAAAAAAAGTTTTAAGCTTATTAACTTTGATTGATGATTGAAGTAAATATAAATAGTGAAATATTTTTTTAAATATTTTTTTTATATTAATCCAAAAATAAAATTAACTATTTACATTAAACCTTTTCAACTAAAATAGGTAAAATATTAAACTTTAAATGAAAAACTGAAATATATTTTTGGCATTTTAATATATCACATTATGATGGGTTCATTTAAACAGCAACAACAGCAGGGGAAGCGACGTAGGGAGACGCGACATAGGGAGATGCTACATAAGGTGACGCGGCGATATAAGGAGAGGAGGCAGCTACATAGGGAGCTGATGCGACGTAGGCGGCAGGAGCAGCGACGTAGGCAGCGAGACCATTGTTAATGCGGTGGAAGTACTGAGAGCTGCTGGCTGTCACAATAGGAGCTGGGGCGGCCACCAGAGGAGCGGCGACCAGAGCTGGCTTGGCTGATACCATGGAGACGAGCGCGAAGGCGAGGACGATCTGGAAATATATTTTCTCTTTAATACTAGTTATGAAAAACAAAATTACTAGTCTATTTTCGTCCGTAGTATTAATTTGATTGTAATTTTTAATTAGTAGAATGCTATTTAACAATATTAATTGAGTATTGTATTTGAATTTGAAATAATATGAAATTCTTCAATATACCAAAATATTAAATTATGTTAAGAATACTTACGAGTTTCATCATTTTGTAAATGTTGAATTGTATTCTTGCTACTGTAAGAAAGCAAATGATACTCTGAGACGATGTCAAACCTCATTTTATAGTTGCAAACATGGCGCAACAGATGTAAGAAACATTGTCTTTGGCATTGGACCAGGCGTGATTGGAATCGAATTGCATTTTCGGGTCTAATCACCTATATTTTCTCTTACGTATTGAATTTATTTACTTATTCTACTTACTAACACATTTTGCACCCATAAAATGTAATAGAAAACAATGATAGAAATTCATATACCACATAAAACAAATTATTATCAGTCAATGATCTCTTATAGACACAATACACTTTAACACTTTTATAATATAATGGTAAACCTTGGTGAAGCAATACTAGTAAAAACATAAAAAGCTATGCTATCCTCCTTCCCGAATAAAAATCATTAGTCTCAGTCAAATACGTAATTATAAGACGTATGTAGTGAACTTAATAAAAAATAAGTTAATGTATGTTACTGGCAGTTATTTTAGCTGTTGACTCTTACTGAACATGAAGAATCATTTAAGAAAAAAATCAAACGATTTTTCTGAGGGCTCACTATGGAGCAGCTTGAAATGACACTGGGTATACAAGCTATCTGTCTGTATGCTATCTGTCGTTAGTGAGAAGTTAAACAGGTATAGTCTCTATTTGTGTAAATACACCAGTACTGCGGTCAATGCTTTTATAATCATCTGAAGGAGAGTGAATAGAAATTGTCCAAATGAATTATGTAAATCAAACTGTCAGAAACATCGTATAAAATAGGTTACGAATAATATGGAGTTAATACGTACTAACTGGATAGGAACCCTTTTAACTATCAGTATCATAAATTGATAATACTCTTACACACATGGATACTTTTTACAAAAATACTAAAAATGTATGGTAGTCATAAAGTAACTTTGATTAATGTAAGGTCGTGATTTATATACAAGAGGAGAATTTCAAATCGATACCTATGAAATTGGCGATCGAAACCCTTACGGAAACAAAATCAATAACTCTCAAACTGCGAAAATCTCAAACTGCGAAAGTTCATTATTCTGTCGTAATTAATTCATTTTACAAACTGGTAAAGTGGTAACCCATGACCAAATAATGATTATATTCAAAAGCTCAAATACAAACAAACTCATAACACAAATACATCATTTTACAGATAAGAACATTCCTAAACATTTATAAAAAAACAGCTCTCCTAATCCATACTATGTTCGAGCTTTAGACACTACTAGTGTAAGCATTACGATAGGCGGCATATAAGTTATAGCTCGACTTCAACATACGTCTTTGAAAGAGGTAATAATTAAAATCCGTATGATAAAAACTTTGAAAAAGAACTTAAATAAATAAGACTTTAAGATTTAAACAGCGGTTGCTTCTAATCATTCTCTTAATAGTCTGGAATAACTAGATTAAAAATTATTCTTTAATAGTCTGCCATTTTAAATATTTGAAGAGTATCGAGGAAGTAGTTTTTCAGGTAGAAGATAATAAGATATTACTAAAAGTTACTGTGTGCCTAAATAATGTTTTTGTCACTTTCTTGGAACCTCTAGAATTTACACATTTTTAAGAAACTTTAATTATCTTTTCATAACTTGAATAAGAATGGAAAAAAAAAACTAAATGACTTCTAATTAAAAAAACCGTTTCTCATACCTTGATTCTTATCCCCATGTTTTTGTTTTTCTCTCAATTTCTCGCAAATATTCTTCAGAATTAAGTTTTATTGATATTATGAATATTGCATCTGCAGAATAGTTGTTATGTTAAAAAAAAATAGTTACATTTTTACTAATATTGAACTTGTTCCGAACTAAAATAAATCTTATAAAATATATTTGTTTATTATATACATAGATTTTCGTCATTCAGACCTACATAGGACATACCTATTTGAATAAATCTTGCATAATAGAGTAAGGTAAAATTATATTTTTAAAAATATATATTTGGGATAAAAAAAAATATATCGAGCTCTCTTAATAGTTTTTATTAACAACAGGTTCTAGGTGGTTTAATAACCATAAAATTAATATTATATGCCTCTTTTGTATTTTTTTGTAATGGCAATAATTGATGAATTCTTTTGAATGTACTAATGTCATCTACAAAAAAAAAAAAGGTTTACTACTTAATTATATTCTTTTATATTGTATTACTTTGTTTTTCAGCATTCCATAATAGAATAATACTTTAAAAAAATGATATTAAAGATTAAATTAAAACAAAAACATATTTTAGCCATTTTAATATTGATCACATTGAAATCCGTTCCTTTAGACAGCAACAACAGCAGGGGAAGCGACGTAGGGAGACGCAACATAGGGAGATGCTACATAAGGTGACGCGGCGATATAAGGAGAGGAGGCAGCTACATAGGGAGCTGATGCAACGTAGGCAGCAGGGGCAGCGACGTAGGCAGCGAGACCATTGTTAATGCGGTGGAAGTACTGAGAGCTGCTGGCTGTCACAATAGGAGCTGGGGCGGCCACCAGAGGAGCGGCGACCAGAGCTGGCTTGGCTGATACCATGGAGACGAGCGCGAAGACGAGGACGATCTGGAAATATACATATGTACACTGTTTAAAACACTTGTATTGAATGAAATATAATTATATAAATTTTAAGTTACATACGATGCTGATTTAAACTATAGATAGGATAGAGTAATTCTTATATTCTCATACTTTAAAATCAGATTTTTTTTGTTAGCTCCAGCAATAATATACATCTACAAGCATTTTTTACTAAGAAAATAAAAACACTTACGAATTTCATCATTGTGTTTTGGTATTGTTTTTCTTGTAAGAGTAAGAAGCAAATGATAGTCAGTGGTGGTTGAAGACTTCTTTTATAGTATCTAATATAAAATTTATGTATATGACCCAACAACTTCAAGCCGCTACGTTACTGACATTGGCATACACGTGATAAGAATTACAGGGCAAATGCTTTACTTTCCTCTAAAATTGCAATGTGATTCAATTATATATCTATATATTAAGATATAATTATATGCCCTAGTTTTAATTGATATTAGGTATGAAAATTTAAAAAATCTTACTTTTATGATACAAAATTAGTTCAAAGTATGTGGTTATGTTGTGAATAATATAAATTTTTACGTGTTTCATATAACCTTTAAATAACTTTGTTCAGCTTTTTATTGCAATAAAAATATATTTTCAGAACTCATTAGTTTCATTACAGAACTGATAATTTACAATAATTGAATACAGCTTAAAAAATTATGTTTGAGCATAAAAGCATCATTTAAAAAAAATATCTGTAAAACAGTTTGGAATATCTTGGGGTAACGTATTTTCTTTAATTCCTCAATTCAAGTTCACGAGTACTTCCTGTCAGGAAACTTGTTTTTATATGATGTTTGTACTAATTGTCATGATGTAACAGATACCTACTATTTAAATAAAACTAATATTTTCAGATGTATTTTACTATCGGTATAGTACATCCGAAAATATAAGTATTATTTAAATTAATACTCCGAAAAGACTCAGATACTCGTATCATTAACGGGTGCCATGCTTAAGAAATATCAAATTAATTTGTAAATTTTAAACAATATTACATTTATAAAACATGCATTTTTAACTATAAACCGGGTAAAGATATTGTTGGGGATGCAATAACATTTAAAGTAAAATTTTAACTCCTTCATTTGTAGGTCTTTTCGTTCCCCTCTAGAATCTTTAATGTAAGCTAATTTAATGTGTAGCATGATAATGAATGTAGATGACACAGTTTGTTCTTTGATGCTTCATGGACTAACTAAATTAAAAAATCTATATAATGTTTAAGTTTTTATATTTTGACACTTTTAGTTTGTTTTTAATGAAACTTTATTTTCCCGATTGAATCTAATTCCAGAGACTCTTTTTTATTTTAGCTTTGTTTTAAACTTCCTCTTAACCTATATATTTTTTGCTTATCCACAATTTAGGAAGTATAATTTTATATAATGAGATTTAAGATTTTCGCGAGTACTCATTTAAATGAAACTAATATTTTCGGATTTTACTTCGCGTTTTTATTTTTGATTACAAACTAAATACTCCCGACGTTTCGGCTACTTTTCAGCAACCGTGATCACGGGCAGACGAGATGTGAGATCCCTCACTCAGATTCAGAGAAGTAAAATCGTAAAATATTAGTTTCATTTATAATTTTATATAATTGATGCCGTCACTTTTGTTTCCCTTACTGTAAAGGAAATTATAATCTTTTCTTTTTTAGCATTGTATTATACGAATCATGAACTTTTAATTGAATTCTATGAAAACATTTTGAACTTAATTTTATTTTGTCTATATTTTTTTTATTGATTTTCATTTTACATGCTTCTCACTAACAATCTACTTTATGCCATAATTATTGAAACCAACAACGAATTGTTAAACGTGTGAATTTGCTATACAGCATAATTAACTCAGTCATTAAGTCATTAGAGTACAATAAAATCTATTTAAATATATGGACTACTTTGCTGATCGTGACCAAAATTGCAACCGATTAGCCATAGATTCAGTTACCAAAACCTTTAAAAAACTTCGTCAATATCGACCAATCGTTCTACGACCACTTGCATTGTTCGTTTAACTGCCATCGAACTTCGTCATAAACGTAAAAGGAAAGACACCTATATTATCTAAGAAAATGTACATTCAAGTTTTTCAGGTTAAGTAATGATGGGAGGCTCTCAGCATATTAGTTTTCTAGAATTAACCTTAGTAACCGTTCAGGTATTGAAGGAACAAAGAATATAGAAATAGTGTTGAATATATTTGAATTTCGCTTCTTATTTAAATTTAACTCACCCTTGACTTAATTATCTATATTTTTTCACTCAATGTTTTTTTTTACATATTTTATACTTACTCTATGCTTGCAACACTACTCCGTGATATTAGAGATTGTATTTCTTGTAATAAACCTTTAAATTACCTAGTTAGAAGAGTGTTTAATTACTAAAGCTATCAAATAGAAGATAGAAAAAACGAGTAATCTTAAGGCTGCTTCAGGTAATGTTAGGTTTTTATCTACAAGTATTGGTAGCAATATTGGTCAGGGCAGTATATCTTGTTTAAGTTTACTAATCAATAGTAAACATATTCCAAGTAGCGTGATACTTTTGAAGGTTCTTATAAGTACAGCCATGGTGGTCTTGATTGAAATAAAATGAATGAATTAAAAATTATATGCCACATACAAAAAATTACTTTATTTCGCCATATAAATTTAACGTTTAAATTAATACTTAGTTTAATATTTGAAAAGGATGTCATATCATATGTATTTTAATAATATATTTTTGGCTAAATCATTTGAATAAAATTTCAAAAAGCAGGCTTTAAAGAAAATCTTACATTTTCAGTAAATAATTTAATCACATTAAAATCAGTTCATTTAGACAGCAACAACAGCTGGGGAAGCGACGTAGGGAGACGCGACATAGGGAGATGCTACATAAGGTGACGCGGCGATATAAGGAGAGGAGGCAGCTACATAGGGAGCTGATGCAACGTAGGCGGCAGGAGCAGCGACGTAGGCAGCGAGACCATTGTTAATGCGGTGGAAGTACTGAGAGCTGCTGGCTGTCACAATAGGAGCTGGAGCGGCCACCAGAGGAGCGGCGACCAGAGCTGGCTTGGCTGATACCACGGAGACGAGCGCGAAGACGAGGACGATCTGGAAATATACATATTTACACTGTTAAAACACTTATATTTAATAAAATGTAATTTTATAAATTTTAAGTTACTTTCATTGCTGATTTAAACTATAAATAGGATAGAGTAATTCTTATATTCTCATACTTTAAAATCTTATTTTTTTGTTAGCTCTAGCAATAATACACATCTACAAACATTTTTTACAAGGTATAAGAAAATATAAACACTTACGATCTTCATCATTGTGTTTTGGTATTGTTTTTCTTGTAAGAGTAAGAAGCAAATGATAGTCAGTGGTGGTTGAAGACTTCTTTTATAGTATCTAATATAAAATTTATGTATATGACCCAACAACTTTAAGCCGCTACGTTTCTGACATTGGCATACACGTGATAAGAATTACAGGGCAAATTTTGCTTTACTTTCCTTTAAAATTACAATGTGATTCAATTATATATGTATATATGAAGATATAATTATATGCCCTAGTTTTAATTGCTATAAGGAAAATAAAAAAAGTTTTTACTTTTATAATAAAATTTCTTTCCCTTATGACCCAAAATTAGTTCAAAGTATGTGGTTATGTTGTTAATAATATAAGTTTTGACGTGTTTCATATAACCTATAAATTACTTTGTTCAGCTTTTTATTGCAATAAAAATATATTTTCAGAACTCATTAGTTTCATTACAGAACTGATAATTTACAATATTTGAATACAGCTTAAAAAATTATGTTTGAGTATAAAAGCATCATTTAAAAAATAATATCTGTAAAACAGTTAGAAATATCTTGGGGTAACGTATTTTCTTTAATTCCATAATTCAAGTTCACGAGTACTTCCTGTCAGGCAACTGGTTTTTATATGATGTTTATACTAATTGTCATAATGTAACAGATACCTACTATTTAAATAAAACTAATATTTTCAGATGTATTTTACTATCGGTATAGTACTTCCGAAAATATGAGTTTTATTTAAATTAATACTCCAAAAAGACTCAGATACTCGTATCATTAACGGGTGCCATGCTTAAGAAATATCACATTAATTTGTAAATTTTAAACAATATTATATCTATAAAAATGCATTTTAACTATAAACCGTGTAAAGATATTGTTGGGGATGCAATAACATTTAAAGTAAAATTTTAACTCCTTCATTTCTAGGTCTTTTCGTTCCCCTCTAGAATCTTTAATGTAAACTAATTTAATGTGTAGCATGATAATGAATGTAGATGGCAAAGTTTGTTCTTTGATGTTTCATGGACTAACTAAATTAAAAAATCTATGTTATGTATAAGTTTTTATATTTTGACATTTTTAGTTTGTTTTTAATGAAATTTTAATTTCCTGATTTAATTTAAGTCCAGAGACTCTTTCTTATTTTAGCTTTATTTTAAACTTCCTCTTTACCTATATATTTTTTGCTTATCCACAATTTAGGAAGTATAATTTTATATAATGAGATCTAAGATTTTCGCGAGTACTCATTTAAATGAAACTAATATTTTCGGATTTTACTTCGCGTTTTTATTTTTGATTACAAACTACATACTCCCAACGTTTCGGCTACTTTTCAGCAACCGTGATCACGGGCAGACGAGATGCGAGATCACTCACTCAGATTCAGAGAAGTAAAATCCGAAAATATTAGTTTCATTTATCTAATATATAAAATTCTCGTGTCACAGTTTTCGTGCCCATACTCCTCCGAAACAACCTGACCGCTTTTGATGAAATTTTTTGTGCTTATTCGGTAGCTATGAGAATCGGCCAACATCTATTTTTCATCCCCCTAAATGTTAGGGGTAGTCCACCCCTAAATTTTTTTTTTTTATTTTTTAGACAAAATTTTTAATTACTATTTTTTTATGATACAACGTACAAAAATACATACAATCCTAAATTTTCACCCTTCTACGATCAACCCTTATTTTTTAATAGCTATTTTAGTAATTTAATCATTTTTCATCTCCGGTCGATAACTGATCAATCGTCATTTAATAAGTTATCCCCGCCAGATATCTACAGGTGTCACTTCTGACCCAGTAAACAGCACGGAGTAGGGATGAGAACGAAGCCGGTCTTCTGTTTCTCTCACACAATTAGACTTCTCTCACTCCCTACACAGTTGTCGGCCATCGTTATTGTTTGTGCATCAAGTGTAGTAGTAACGTTGACAATTATTATTTTGCTAGCTCAGTGTAACTCTCATATTAACTATTAATCATTCCTAATCACTTCAAAACACGGAGATTTATGGCTTTAATAGGTAAACTCCAAAAATATAAATAAAAAAACGTAACAGATATTTCTTGATTATAGGGCGAAACGAAGTTCGCCGGGTCTTCTAGTAATTTTATATAATTGATGCCGTCACTTTTGTTTCCCTTACTGTAAAGGAAACTATAACCTTTTCTTTTGTAGCATTGTATTATACGAATCATGAACTTTTAATTGAATTCTATGAAAACACTTAACTCTTATGTAAATTTAACTTTATTTTTTCTATTTTTTATTGATTTTCATTTTACATGCTACTCACTAATAATCTACTTTATACCATAGTTATGTGAACCAACAACGAATTGTTAAACTTGTGAATTTGCTATACAGCATAATTAAGTCAGTCATTGAGTCATTAGAGTACAATAAAATCTGTTTTAATATATGGACTACTGTGCTGATCGTGACTAAAATTGCAACCGATTTGCCATAGGTTCAGTTACCAAAACCTTTAAAAAACTTCGGCCATATCGACAAATTGTTCTACGACCACTTGCATTGTTCGTCTAATTGCCATCGAACTTCGTCAGAAACGTAAAAGGAAAGACACCAACGTTATCTAATAAAAAGTACATTCATGTTTTTCAGGTTAAGTAATGATGGGAAATTCTCACCATATTAGTATTCTAGAATTAATCTTAGTAACGGTTCAGGTATTGAAGGAACAAAGAATATAGAAATTGTGTTGAATATATTTGAATTTCGCTTCTTATTTAAATTTAACTTACCCTTGACTTAATTATCTATATTTTCTTCATCCAATGTTTTTTTTACATATTTTATACTTACTCTATGATTGCAACACTACTCCGTGATATTAGAGATTGTATTTCTTGTAATAAGCCTTTAAATTAGCTAGTTAAATGAGTGTTTAATTACTAAAGCTATCAAATAGAAGATAGGAAAAACGAGTAATCTTAAGGCTGCTTCAGGTAATGTTAGGTTTTGGATCTACAGGTATTGATAGCAATATTGGTCAGGGCAGTGTACCTTGTATAAGTTTACTAATCAATAGTAAACATATTCCAAGTAGTGATACTTTTGAAGCTTCTTATAAGTACAGCCATGGTGTTCTTGATTGAAATAAAATGAATGAATTAAAAATTATATGCCACATACAAAAAATTACTCTATTTCGCCATGTAAATTTAACGTTTAAATTAATACTTAGTTTAATATTTGAAAAGGATGTCATATCATATGTATTTTAATAATATATTTTTGGCTAAATCATTTGAATAAAATTTCAAAAAGCAGGCTTAAAAGAAAATCTTACATTTTCAGTAAATAATTTAATCACATTAAAATCAGTTCATTTAGACAGCAACAACAGCAGGGGAAGCGACGTAGGGAGACGCGACATAGGGAGATGCTACATAAGGTGACGCGGCGATATAAGGAGAGGAGGCAGCTACATAGGGAGCTGATGCAACGTAGGCGGCAGGAGCAGCGACGTAGGCAGCGAGACCATTGTTAATGCGGTGGAAGTACTGAGAGCTGCTGGCTGTCACAATAGGAGCTGGAGCGGCCACCAGAGGAGCGGCGACCAGAGCTGGCTTGGCTGATACCATGGAGACGAGCGCGAAGACGAGGACGATCTGGAAATATATGAATAATGAAAAAAATCAATCTTTTAATTGCAACAAAACTGTTTCTATGTTTAACTTATTTTTCTAAACTTTTAATCTGATCTGTTAATTAATAATAATGAACTCGTATTGAATTTAAATAAATATAATTGCTTACGATTTTCATCATTTTGATTGTTTGTGTATATTTCTTGTACTTGCAAGAAGGCAACTGATAGTCTGCGATGGTAAAGGACTACATTTTATAGTAAGCGTGGCGCAAGAACACAAGACGTATCGTCTTTGGCATTGGACAACGCGTGATATGAATCAAATCACATGTTTCGCCACTTTGGGATTAAATGCTGTATTTTTGCTTTCATAACAATCTTTGTTGACTCACTTTCGTTACTTCCTAAATCTATAAGAATATAAAAAATGGAGCAATTGTTTATAGTTTAATAATAACCGCTTTTTACTAATTGCACATTCATGTTTAGCAGAGATATACATACTGTATTTTAGTATTTATCTTTTTATCCGTCTCTTTGTTATATTTTGTCCTGAATACGCTGGTTAATTTCAAGAAACAATCAATATCATATAAGTAAAGAAATATTGTACGCGACAACAACTTATTGTTAATAAATTTCCATACTGTATTTACATCCTATCATATTTACATCATATTTTATTTACATTACACGATATAACAACTACCATGAAGAAAGGCATAAAAGTATTGGATGTATATAAAACTAAAACAATTAACGATTATATTTATGATATTATAAAGTTACCAATTTACAAAAATGACCACATTCAAGTTTATACAAGCCCTTACATTTACTTATTATTCAATAGACGCAAATGCTCTCAATAATTTAAGTATATTTAAACGAACATAAATTCTCTTAAGTGAAAGTTAATTTACATTTTCCAACTGCATTTATTACATGCAAAATATTTAACTTGCCCATCACAAAAGTTGCAAGGTTGTTATTGGGTCTCGCATTACGTTTAACGCCTATAAAATAGTAACGAAATTACAGAAACGTCATAATTTACGTCATTTAATTCACCGTTTACTACTGATGGTAACAATATACGTTTTGCTTGGACATTTATTAAAACGTTTGACTGTATATAAATTGTCAAATAAACCATATTGTTGAACAAATAATATATTTAAATGTTTAAGATTAAAAAAACGGTGACCCTGAGTAAAAAGTGATTCTTGACATATGTATATTAAGTATCGCTGAAAAGAAGTATCACTTACCGTTATTTCGAAATAAAAGGGACATATACAGGGACAACATACTCGTAAATACATTTACTTTCAACACGTGCAAACATTCAAGGAGAACATATGTATTTATATGAATTGTACTTAAAGCGTCAATATGCTTAGAAAACCTTAGCTAAGCTTTGTTGTATAGACAACCCGGAATTTGCTCGTTTTTCACATTTAAGGTATTACAATTAGTCTTCATCTTATTGAGATGAAACTTTAAGCATTTCATGGATTCACAGTGGGGTGCCGGGTCCATCGCGTTGCAGGGAGAGGAGCTTCAACAGTGCCTGGGACTTGCGACCCAGGTGTAGGTTTAAGGGACCGCTATATAATGAAGCCCTATATAATGGGCTCCTGTCTTCGACGTAGGCTCCAACTAATTATATATTTGAATAATTTATAAATATTAAATATTTGAAAGTGAAAAAATATTTTCTTGAGATTTTACAGTTTAAGTTGTTTGAAATCTTTAATCGTTTTTCTTTTAGGTTATCACAGAAGCAAGGATTTTATCATATTTTTTAAATTATCTCCACAACTATATCTTTATTATATCATATATTTCATCTCGTCATCGGCGTATCAAAGCCCACTGCTGAGCAAAGGCCTCTTCTCACATGGAAAAGGTCATTAATCACCACGCTTACTCAAGACGGTTTGGTGATTTCAAACTTATAGTTGAGAAATTATAAGTGCAGGTTTCCTCACGATATTTTCCTTCACCATCTATCAGTGGTATCTAAATACTGTTAGAAAGTACATATGACTCGGAAAAATCACATTGGTACTTGCCAGGATTTCACCCGCGCCCTCGTGCACTTGAGGCGGGCCCTTTAACCATTAGGCCACTACTGATTATAATTCATCTAATTCATATTTAATTTTTTTAATTTTTTTTCCGTATTTTGAAATTAGGTTTGAATTTGGTTTTTTATTTTATTCAAATATTATATAGTTAGTAATGTAAGGAATACCTAGATTTGAACAGTTCAATAAGGTTCAAATATTAGATGTCTTTAACCTAAACAGCGTCGCCTCAGCAAGCATCACATGAATTTCATATATCATTAATAGTATTTATATGTACATAATCAGTTACTTAAATAAATATAATGCTCAGTTCTTAATGTGAATGTACTATCTTTACAAACAATCCTTCATTTATTATGTATTTCGTACTACAAACCCTAGATAAAAATATAAAAAAATTAATAACATGTCTATTATTATTTCTCTTCATAGTTTCCATTTCAAGTCTTTACATTAATATTAAAATATTATTCTCATTCCCAAAACCAAATATCTTCAATAAATATTACGTGTAAATAAAAATATGATTTTTGGATATATTACGATTACGATTTATTTTTCACAGTATTCTAGTTCCGTCTTGTCTGCCTGTAGTCACGGTTGATGTAAAGTAATCGGTAAATGGTAATATGATAAATAAAATAGTTACATACTTGAAAACCTTAGTTGTATTTAAATGTGTGCGTTCAAAAATCTTAGATATCCAAAGAGTGGCTTTGCCTACATGATAATTTTATCAACTGGTCGAGTTGTACTATCTTAAGTTCTCTCTAATTTTTTAATCGATGATATTTACTTAAATTTAAATTCAAATATTTCATTTATTTCCAAATAACTTCTATATTAAAAACATAGTTAGTTTAACATATTATTTGGTTTATAAACTTTGGGAAAGCGGCAGACGTCGATGTTCTCAATATTATCTTAAAGACTTTAAGACAATATTGTGAGATGCTGAGTTCATTGCCCCGATGAGTTTGCCGGCTCTGTACATACAAACATTACAATTATTTACAGATATAATCTTTTAAATTATGTAAAATTTGTTGTTCGATAACAGGAAACAAATTATGTAAAGGGTATTACGATGTTACTTACAATCATGTTAATTTTATTTGTTGTTTATATTTGATATACATACTTGAATTAAATATAATTTTCAAACGAACTATACCAAAGTACATACTTTTTCTTAATAACATGCGAATACATTAAAATGATTATGCAACTAAACAAAAAAGAAACGGTACACAAAACAAAAGGAAGTGTTGAAAACAAAAACAATTTAATTATAGAGATGAAAAAATTATTGAACAATGTTTTTATAAACCATACCAAAAAAAAATGTATGTGTACAGGAACACAACTGTAACTCTGTTTTGCCTTTATAATCAAAGACTAAGAGACTGTTACATTTCACGGATCTATCTGAAGCCTTCTCAAATATACCGCAATAAACAAATAATTTGGCAATAAATAAGTCACGAAAATAATTGTTGTTTACATTTATGTACCTACAATTTTAATAACAAAGAATATGTTAGACTTATGATTTCTTTATAGACGAAGAATTTGATATATATATCCAAAAAAATTGTTGCTATGAACATGTTTAAGACACGGGATTCTCAGTGTTATTTGATCTTTAAAATTAAAGACAGTTGAAGATAATCTTGTTTAAAGAGGATTTCATGCAAGCACCTTAGAGTAAATTACTGAAAAATTTGTGAATTAGTTTATTGTTTTATGATATGAAACGCTACGTGTTTTCATAAAATATTATACACATCAGTTACAACATAAGAAAAATTTAAATGGCTAATATAAACGAATACTACGTTACTATACCTACATATAATGAAAATAATTGATGCAAACAATTTACAAAAATCAAATAATTAAAATATAATATTAAGAATGAAATAAACTCAAATGAGTGTCGAGATTTTTAAGCAGAGTTTATAGAATTTTAAATTATAAAATAATTTTCTTGATGAATACAGCAGTGGAAAGAAGACATGGAAATTCCTATGAAATGTTCTTTTAAGGTTTCTACTTCGTTTCTTGTGTTATGTTAACATTACGTGAATTAGCTCACAATAATACAATGAATTAAGCAATTGTTATGTTGGACTTTGGGTTTCAAGCTTTTAACCTTTTCCTTTGCTACTGTGAATACGAAACAATTATATCAAAACTAAAGTGTTATTGACACCACAAAATATAAGACGTAGTTGGCACGTGTGACACGTGATCACGTGAACAAATTGAACGTGAGAGGTTTAACTTATAATTTTTTTAACTCTAAAGAAATCAATGAACATTTTCACTGAAAAAATCTTTAATTACACTTTATAACAATGGATTATTGAGTATATTGGGCATTCATTTTTACTTTCACTTACTTCCAAAATTATAAAATTAGTTTTAACCAAATATATTAAAAAAACACAGTCATAGATCTAAATGCATTTAATATGATAATATAAGAATATATTTTGGTGGGTACAATTATAGATTTATCGGCTTTAAGTATATGAAATTCAGCGTACATAATAACTATATGGGTAAGTATATGCTGCGTAGTCATATGCTGAAGCGTACTCAGGATAATATGCTGGAATAGTATAATCAACTGCTATCGGTGAGGAATAAGCTACAGATGCCAGCGGATATTCTACTACTAGTGGCTTAGCTGCAGCGAAAGCCAGAAGAGCAGCAAAAATTATCTGTAAATAATAAGACAAAAGATCAAAGCAAATAAATTGGTATATCGAAATAAATACAACAACACTTTGAATATTTTTAACCACCATGTTTCAGTTAAAATAATTTTCGTTACCACTTAAATGTGAACTGTACAAAATAAGTATTTTTAAATATGCTCATACATATATTGCATATAATTCAAATTTATTTTTAAGCACAGAAACGCATTTTGCTACATTCTGCTTTTATATTTTTCAATACTTGAAAATACAAATAATGACTCTTTAAACTGAAAATCCTAGACAAAGATTTTTTTAAGATAATATTAATAGTCACTTACGTATTTGAACATATTGATTTTGATATGATGTTAGTCTTGATCGAATGATATCAGTTCACAATGAAGCCCATATGTTTCATCCTCTTTTATATCAAAGCGGAACCACGGACGTCTTTAACCGGATAAGTGTATGAATATCCTCACTGGACTAATTTTACATTATGGTCACGAACAGCCTCGAATGTGTCCGAACACTTTAATATTAAGGTTGAGGACACTCGAGTAATATAGGCTCTGATTTCTTGTATATGAAAGTAGAATAAATGTCAGTTTAGGTTATCTTATACTTCATCGGCACGAATAAGGTTTTTATTGATGTTTTGAAGTCAAGAAAAAAAAATGTATTTCATTTTGTTTGTTGTTATAAACGACTATGTTGCCTACTTTAATTTGTATATAGAATTTGCTTTGTTACTGCACTCAATTTATGTTAAGTGTCTCTCTTTACAAAGATCTAAAGATTTGTGTTTGATTTAAAGCTAGAAAATTAATAAGGCTATTCAAGAGTTAACAGTTCTTTTAGTACTTAATTTTATTTGTTTACGTCAGTTCTATGAAAATCATATTTTACCAAAACTGATACATTTTTTATCATTAAAACAAAGGCTTTTCGCTTTCTTACAAATCTTAACCATTCAAACCAATTTTCGAACACAATTAATAAGGCTACAAGCGTTACTCTCGTTTCTAGATAAGATGGATTTCATGAAAAGGAATGTCTGAGGTAAATTTGTAACCTTAATTTTTTGACTATTTACAAATCAAGATAACTCTAAAACTTTTAAGTAAAAGAACGTCTCAGCTAAATTTACACAAGGTGGAAGCATGTAACGTGTTTTAACGTTAAAATAAAAGTATTTCCACCTCGTGTATGGAATCAAACTGTCGTTTTCAGATTAATACAAAGTGGAGTTAACACGTGACCATGCTTTAACATCTCGTTTCTTACAGTGAAAATAGATCAAAACAGCAAAAGATCTCCTTTATTTTATATTCACATAACAATGTTTAATATTAAGAATTTTTTAGCTTCTATTGTACTAATAATGATACTATCACTTTTAAACAAAATCTCAATAAGTTTTTAAAACAATCTTGACATATATAACTAAAATTATTTAAATTTATAAATTAAATTGGGATTTTTGACTCTAACGCAAATTAAAGTATTTTCTTTAAGCCTCTGTACAATTTTTTTTATAACAGAATTATCAAAAAATATGTATAGTTTAAAATGTTACAAACATAGTCTTATTTCAAAATATGTGCCATAGGAATCGATTACATACTTGCTTATTCATAGCATGCTTGGCAAGGCTAGTTCTACGGGTCGACGGTATAAAAGGCTTGGTGGTCATTTTAAATCATTATACGTATCAGTTGCTTCTTCTTGTAACTTTCAATCTCAAACAACGCATCAAAATGTTCAAGCTGGTAAATTTTATTTTATTACAAATGACTTTTTTATGAATTAAAAAAATCCATATTATTTTATTTAACAGTAATTGTTGAAAAACATTTTATTTTATTTGAAACATTTATATTTCAGTTCATCTTCGCGTGCTTCCTGGCCCTAGCTGCCGCCAAGCCTGGAGTAGTCCCCGTAGCGTACACCGCAGCAGCCTATTCAGCTCCATTGGTAGCAGCATCTTACCCAGCCCCTCTAGCGTACTCAGCATACAGTGCACCCTTTTCATACTCCGCTTACTCTGCATACCCATACGCCGCACCATACTCTGCATACTACCTCAGACGTTAATGTGATATGTTTAACCCCAGCTTGCTTGAAGAATACCCGATAATAAACGATTAAACATAAAAGCTATCTTTTAATGATATTTAATTTTGTTTTCGTAACGTTTAAGAAAACATTAAAACCAATTACTCGTTAAAGTATAGCGAAGATTCAGTGTATTATATTTCATGAAAAAATGTTATATACTGCTTGTATTTTATTAATTAATATAATTTTGTTTCTTGTTCATTGTTCTTGTTCTTGTTCTTGTTTTTTATAGTTTTATTACAAAAATTCTTATAAAACAGTGTTTAAAATATAATTATAATTTAAATTTGTATTTAAAATAATTGTCTATACACCATTCATATATTTTCGATATAATAAAATTTTAATAATTGAAGTCATAAAATAATTAATCAATTGAATTTCCCTAAAATTGAGCCTATATAATTGAAATATAGAGAATATTTAATATTTGATCCATAACTCAGTGTCACAATATGTAGCTGGTATCTTTTGTACAATTTTGTTTGTCTTCGATTAGTACTAGCTCGTTGTAGTCCTTTATAGATCAAATAGGAGATGTATATCTCATAAACTAACTCACGGCACATCTATAAGTCACGTTGCATCATTATGACAAGAAAGTAAAAGCTACAGTTATTAGTTATTGAATTTTAATAAGTCTTGTAAGATATAGAGACGAAACCTTTTAGCATTCAATGGATTCTCCGCGCGGATGCCGCGCCCATCGCGTTGCAGTATAAACTACTACTACTACCTATTATATTATAAACTACGAACATACAATATATCTTAAAATCTTAAATTGAAAATCTTTCTTCCTCTATATCAAATTTGCCAAATATATTGAAAACCAAGTTATGTGTATGTTGAATATGTAAATATGATAAATAAATTAGCTTTTATTTTAATATATTGATATTATAGTGAAATAAAATATATAAGACTTGTAATTGTAAAGTATGTTATTTTCTTTTACGCAAACAAACATATGTAGGAATAAATTATAGTAAATTTGAATTATTGAATATACTTTTCTTTATTCAATTTAACATATTTAATATAAATTCATCAGAGATACACGAACAACTGATGAGATGAAATAAATTTCTATTCATTTTATTTTAAGGGATCATCATTAAAATAATTAAAAAAAAAGAATCGTTGTTATATCAATGTGATATTCCTTTCTTGATCTGTTTATCAAGAAGTTTCAAGGAAAAAAACAGGGGAAAAATATTTTAAATGCCTATAACACTGAAATCGAGGTATTAATTTTTAATAATTAATTGTTTTACATCGCATAAATAGCGAATAGGGAAAATGTATTAAAATATATACATGTAGATAAAAATTATTGTAGATAAAATATCTATATATATTTTAAAATTATATATCTGTCTATTATCTAAATTCTAAACAAATCATCGCTAATTTTATTAAGTGTTACAATTGATCAAGTGGAGGGTAAAATGTATATTGAAACTTTGAATGTTTTTTTCACTTTTACACAATTAAGAGTTGTATACATGCTATTATATAATTCTAGTCATCCAATTTATGACTATTATTATAAATTAATATTTTAATCAATTTAAAAATGTCCTCATGTCCTAATTTTATTCTACATATATTTAAATTATGTTTATAAAAGTAAGCATTCTGACATATAAAAAGTAGGTATTGTTGCGTACTAGTAATACAGGACAATCAGTAGTAATTCATACCTGTGTAAATAGTTTTACATTCCGAGCATGCTTCTCAAGGTTGTTACATCATAGGAGGCTAAAGATGAAGTATAAAAAGGCTCGGTGTTCAACTATCAACATCAAACCATACCTCACTGTTCATCTTTAATAACATAAACAAAAACCAACTCTACAAAATGTTCAAATTGGTAAGTTATATAAAATTAAATTGTTTTTCTTTTAATATTGTAACAAATTTATAACTTGTGCTCTTTAAATTTCCAGTTCATCTTCGCGTGCTTCCTGGCCCTAGCTGCCGCCAAGCCTGGAGTAGTCCCCGTGGCGTACACCGCAGCAGCCTATTCAGCTCCATTGGTAGCAGCATCTTACCCTGCCCCTCTAGCGTACTCAGCATACAGTGCACCCTTGGCATACTCCGCTTACTCCGCATACCCATACGCCGCCCCCTACTCTGCATACTACCTCAGACGTTAATGTAATATGTTAAACACCAGATTGCTTGAAGAATCCTCGATAATAAACTATAGAAAGTAATAAAACTTTTTAATTCCGAAAAATTCCTTATTATTCAAAGTTGGTTACAAATAAATACTTTTTTTAACCACGCTAAAAACATAAGAATTCAATGAAAAATACATATTTGTTATTAAATATTAGAACAGAAAAGTGTCACGAAACAATTTTTTTATCTTTCATTCATAAAATTTTAGTCTTTTTGAACTATAATTTCCAATCTTTTACTTCACTACCGTCTTATTCTTAGTAATATTAAAAAATATATGATATATCAAAATTAAATTAAGTTTAAAATACACATTTACTACATTTAAAAAAAATCATATAATCATTAACCTAAACAGTGATTTAAATTCACCATATTTACACGACTGTAGTTTTAACAAATTGCAAACAAGTTTTAAATGAAGCAAAGCATATCAGTTTTCCTTTTACTCATTTATATATTCCAAAGTCTAAGCGAACTGTTACATATTCCCAATGTACCCTTTCCTGCTGGCCCTACATCTTAGTCCTGCCTGATGAGGCAGGACTAAGCCTCTGTGACTTCTCTGTGACCCCGCTCAATACATCCTACATTTTAGTCTCAATCCATCAAATCTTAAAAACGTTCGTGTCTACTTTTCTCTCTAAATATATTTTTTTAAACATTTCGGCCCTGAGGCTCATAACAGAACGAAATTACGGTCAGAAGCCATTGCATTCTAGATAAAAAATTGATCAATTATCTGGAAATAAATTTATATCCTTAAATAATGATCATTATATAAAATAATAGACACAACAAAATATAAAGATTTCAAAAAGGAATAAAAGGTTTACTAAATTTTAAAAGAGAAAAACGATATAAATAAGCAGGAATGTATAGCTGTAGTATTTTAATAGTTAACAGCCATCTATGCATATATAGTTAGTTATATTGAAATACTACTATGTTTGCATATATCAGTTCTTAAATTTTAAATATAACTACCTCTGGTTTGGTTAAGTCTCTTGGAGTTTTTTAATTATCATCTGTCATCAATATCACTGATAAAGATAACTTTGTTAAACACAGACTTTTCGTATTTCCATTATTTTCTTCAATTAATAAAAATTCTAAGTACTAACTTAGTAAAAGCTTAGTAAATTACAAATGTAGTAAATATACCACATACACTATTTGAAACGCAATAGCAATTGGACTTTTACCTTAGGTACAGACTCAAAAATTGTGTACATAAGATTGAAAAGATCGCTTTGATAGTTTAAGCCTTTATAGTGTGAGTTTTCATACACTTTGGTAATTTATTCAATACTTATTTAATTATTTTCTTTTCTATAAACACAGAAGAGAGGCATTTGATTCAATTTCCTTTTTTTGAGATCGTCAGAAAGTAACTCACATTTTTGGAAGCAATATGACTAACAAGATTAATTTTGCTGATTGTACAACAATACATGACCCGAAAAAGAACAATTTTAGTTGACTGGATCACACTATTAAACGTTAGATTTTTTTTCTATTTCCAGGAAATCTTTCCAGAAACGCTGAAAAGTTTGTTGTTTCTTGAAATTGATGACGACAATCTGTTTTTTTGCAATAATCCATAATTCATTATGAATACCATAAGGTTATCTAAAGCTCTCGGTTCCATAGTCTCTAGTTATCGTTTCTAAGTAAATTGGTTTATAAAACATGACTGCAACTATATCAAAATTTTAATCATTTAATTCTCTGGTTTTAGAAGTTACAGATATCGACATTATAATTCTTTAAATTCTTTCATAGAATTTTACTGTCTTATACACGATCTTTCATGACTATATACATTTGATTTATGAAAGCTATTAATAAGCATTAATCCTATCATAGTAGCCGTTTGACTTTTGTGTCATGGATAAACAAAATCGTAATTTATTAAATTTTTGTATTTTTTTAATTATTCAAATATTATAAAATATAACATTTTAAGAAATACAAAATTTCACTAGAACCCTAAATGAATTAAAAAATACATACATATGAGTAGAAAAAGAGCATACTAAGTTACTAGAATGCGTTAAGTCTACAACATTTTATAAAACTGAAATAGTTAAAGAGCTTTCATAAGCTAAAGATCCAGAATAAAGATGTCTTCTATAACTTTTACTGTATGTTAACAATGTTAAAATGAAATTATTTTAGTTTGTTAACATACTATTTTAAATTAGATTTTTATTTATTAATTATATATATATATGTACTATACAAATTTTTAACATTTTTTATTGTTTATACATCGACGGAGAGGTAACGGTAACACTCGTCCTAACAATTATGAATTCAGATCGTGTCTCTCAAGGTTGTTACACCATAGAAGACAAAACATGAAGTATAAAAAGGCTTGCAGCTCAACAATCTATATCAAACCATAATTGACTGTACCTTTAATCACTACAACATTAATATATAAATTTTAAAAATGTTCAAATTGGTAAGTGTATAAAAAAATATAAGCAAATTATTGTAAATGATATTTAAATATTTCGTGTATATTAATCATATTTCATGTAACAAAAGTATCTTATAAAAGAGATAACATTTATAAATTGTGCTCTTTATATTTCCAGTTCGTCTTCGCGTGCTTCCTGGCCCTAGCTGCCGCCAAGCCTGGAGTAGTCCCCGTAGCGTACACTGCAGCAGCCTATTCAGCTCCATTGGTAGCAGCATCTTACCCGGCCCCTCTAGCGTACTCAGCATACAGTGCACCCTTGGCATACTCCGCTTACTCCGCATACCCTTACGCCGCC